CATCCAAGCTTGCATCAGTGAAGACGCAGATCTCGTCCTCGTCACTTGGAGACACACGCAGGGCTGCAGCACTGATGAGCTGGAGTGCACTATGATACGTCGCTTCCTCGTCACTGGTCCACTCCAGCGGCACGTTCAATGCGTTTCGGCTACGACGACCAATGCGTTTGCGTTCCGCATCCAGCTTCGCCTGCAACGGAGCCACCATACGCGCATAGTCCACCAGCGAGTCGTGCAACCAGTTCGACGCGCACACAAAATACTGGAGCTCGGCCACCGTGCTAGGTAGCGGTAGAGTCGAAAGGGCACGCACTCGTTCGGGGTCGTGACGTACGCCCTCACCAGAAATGAGTCTTCCACACCAAATTATCGACGTCTCATAGAGGGAGCTCTTCGGAAGGTTGAGTTTCAGGTTGTGCTGAACAAGCAGCTCGAAGACTCGCTGCAAGACCTGTAGAAACTCGTCCATTGTGTCCGCGAATAGAATAACGTCATCAATCCAAACCATGGCGTTGCGAGGAATGAGCTCAGCTAGAGCGGTCTGCATCGTTCCTTGGAAATGCAGCGCAAAATCGACGGCACCCTGGACAACTCGAGTGGGAGTATAAACACCATCATCCGTCATGAAAGACATGATCTCCTGGCTATTCTCATCCAAAGGCAGCTACCAAAAAGCATCCTTCATGTCGAACGACGCGAACTTCTTTTTGATGATACTGTCCAGTACCTTGTTTCCATTCGGCATGGTGCCTGCAATCGGCACTGTCCTGGCGTTCACAGGCCGATAATCGATAGTCAACCTATACTTGTCCGTAGTACCAGGTTTGCGTACAGGAACCGCCGCTGAGGCCCAGCGGGAACTGTTGTTCCTGCGAACTAGACCACGATCCAGCAGCTGCTGCATCGTTTCGCGAAGGAACTGGCTGTGGAGAGGCGCGTACTTCCTCTGTTTGCACCGGAAAGGTGTCGCTCCGTTCTGAATCGTCACGCGGAGTGGTTCCACAGCCGCCGGCGGTCCGAATCCAATCTCGTCCGCCCATACATCATGCTCAGCGGCCACTTGATGCATGACCTCTGCATACTGCATATCCATTCCATTGAGTAGGGCCTTGTTTATCAGATTATCCACACACGCGATCTGCATGCCCGGCTCTACAGACGTCGGGATTGCATCACTCAAAGGAAATTCGTCGTCTTCTAGAGAGAGAGGGCCATCACCAGCGAGCTGAGCTAGCATCGCGTCAACATCAATCCCTAAACCATGTAGCGTGTCTTTACCCAAGAGGAGCTCGTCCTCCTCACTCTGCAGGACCAGACACATCACGTCACGCACATGAACCAGCCCAGCCGTAGTCGTAAGGGCGAGGTCCACCTTGACCTCTTCTACGCAGGAGATGGCCCGACCGTCGGTCAACGCCACCGGGACTGGATTCTGGAGTCGCAGGACGTCTAAATCCGGCTGCACGGTCCGTAGAGTCTCCACCACACAACTTGGGATGATACTGCGGTCAGCTCCAGTGTCGGGGAGGTACATTACTTCCACGATGTTATTAATTCTCACAGTTTTCAGGGAGCCCGTTCCTTTCGCTGCCTTAGAACGCACACGCTGTTTCTTGGCCGCCCGAAACTTATCCAAAGCCTCCTTTCGCTGCTCTTCCGTAGCCGTAGGGCACTCCTTCAGCCAGTGGGCACCACCGCACGCCAGGCATCCATCTACAGGAGGCTTGGCAGCCTTCGTCGGACGCGTCCCTGCCGGAGCACCTGGCTTCGTGCGGCGATCCGTCGTCGTAGATGGCTGCTTCTGCGACTTGCTGACTTGGTTCTTGGCAGGACGGGAAGTGGCAGCAACGGGGGTATTCTCTTTGTTCAACCGATGGTACCGGTGCTGCGCCTTGGCGTGCTCTAGGATTAGGTCAAAAAGTGCGACGTCATCTGTACGGCAGTCACGTCGCTCCAAATCAACCAGACGCTCAATCTGTTCTCGCAGAACTGCTGGCTGCAGATTCTCCATCAGGAGCTTGCACCGCGCCTTCATTCTGTCCCTGTAGCCAGGAAGAGACGGGTCGGTCTTGCCGATCAGTTGCTGTAGACCATTATCCTCCACAACCTTCACAAAGTCTTGGAAGTAGCGAAAAATTATGGCATCACAGTCGTCGATTGATAGATCCATGTGTAGGTTTTTCTTGAACAATGACTTGACATCAGGCACGTAGGCATTCTTGAGACTGTTGCACCGGCCATGAACCAGCTGAAGGACATCGTTGTCCGAGATCACCTCAGCCGGTCGCTTCAGCACGTACGTGGCGATGATCTTCATGACCTCGGGCTTGACACAGCCCTTCACAGTGGACACCACCGCTTCAAATCGCTCGCCAGTCACAGCACATCGCCGACGAATCTTGTTCAAGTAGTGCTCCCATTCTCGGTACCACACAATCAACGCAGACTGCTCCCAGCTTGCCAGCTCTGGTGGGCGCACGACCTCGTAGATAGGTTGAGGCACCGTGCTCTCCATGACCACGTCCCCATCAGCCTCGACTGTGTAGACCATCTTGGTGTCTTGGCTTGACTTGAGTATACCAGACTTAGGTACACAACGAACTTAGTCCGACCTTCGGTGCGAACTTAGCAGAGAGTTGCTTCGTGCAACCTTCGTGCAACCTCCAACCATCGACACGCGATGGAGGGTTGAAAAACCAAAAGCGCCTTCAAGAAGAAGCGCAAAGTTAACTTTGTCGCGAGAACCCGGGGTGTTGCTTGCAAGGCAAGTTGATTAATGATAATGAAACGGAGACTAACTAACCGACCTCTTTGTCCTCTCCTAGCCTCCTCTTATGTAGCCAGCGTTGCCTCCTGAGCAACGCCGTAGATGCAGAGTCCACAGGCGCCCAGCTAGCGCCGTAAACAGGAATCCAGTTTGTTCGATGCAGCTTTTGTCGAGTCCGTGTCGGAGTTCAATGCCTTCATGCCGACGCGTGCAGCGTCGGCATGTCTTCATCCAGTTACATCCACGGAGGTTGCGAGACGCAGCGCGTCACTACTCGTCGAGATCATTGCCATGATCAACCACAGCGACAGTAGCTTGACTCAACAGTAGCTGACGCCCAACACTTAATCTTAATCCAGAATAACAACTTCTTTCTTGCTCGTTTCTCGATAGTTTGCTCTCGTCGTCAGCTGCCGAGTACCTGCAAGTCTGAGCTGGACAATGCATCTTTTCTCGCTACACCAAGTCACTTGACCACGTCTTGCTGGCCGACAATGGCCGTAGTCTCCTTTAACAGTAACGTACACCCAGTGATTTCGTAGTGGCCACATCACCTGACCACGTCGCTTGATGCTCGCCATCAAGGACGTAGTCGCCACATCAACGCTGTATACTCTCTCTCTACCTCCACCATAATCTAAGATGGCACTTTGCTGCCAGAAATGCTTTGCGCTCTTCCATCGCCCTGGCCAATTTTAATGTCGTAGATCGGACAAGCTTTTGTACAAGTTGTACGGTTGGGTTAGTGTACAACTCACAAACCAATTTGGCGCAAGATGGAAACTGCAGCCGAGATGGTAGCGTGTCTGTCTACCCTGCGTCGAATACTGGAGCTGTACTAACCCGCTGGTTATATCTCCTGCCTCTATGTTGAGCGCAGAGTCCGATTCTGCAGGAGAAGCTCAACGACGTGCTAAGCAGGTGCATTCAAACCAGAATTGGTACATTTCTACAATTTATTGCCATCTTCTGACACGGATTTCTGCTACAGATACGACGCGTTGGAGGCCATTCTTGTGTGCACGTCCGAGGGTGTTCCTCTGCTCAAAGGTACAGCTCGTAATACCCTCGTTCTTTCTCTCTGAGGACTTTTAACGTGCTATTTGTTTTAGTTTCAGCGGAGGAGAAATCCGAGCTATCCTACGAGTACACCGAGACTGTGCTTCCCACAGTATTCGCAGGAGCGGCGGAGCAGGTCCGATAGTAATTGTTAATGCCGTGGCTACGTGGAGCTGACGGCTTGTGTGGCTTATAGGTCGGGAAACTCAAGTTCGGAGCCGTGCAGAGCGTGACGGCATTCTTCGACGACGTGGTACTGATCCACATCAACCACGCGCCTCTGGTCATCACTCTCGTGGCACCGAACTCGCCGCATGTCGGTGCACTCCACGCTTTGGCGAGCGAACTGCGTCCTGCACTCACGCCGCTCAAGAAGTGCGTCGAGAGCGCTGATGTGCATTAAACTGTTTTAAACAGAAGTGGGAGAAGTTTAAAATCTGCGCTGCGTTTAATTTGGAGCATCTATTTCTTTTTCAATTTTACAAGTTATCTGCCTCATTTCCTTCGGTGGTTTTATTCGGACTCGGTTCTCGTCGGTGATGCGCGTCCCCATGGCTCACCAGCATCGCCTGCGGCTTCTCTGGGTAGCTAGCGACTGTAATGGCAGCGGGGGTGATCATTTCTTCCTCGATATCGTCTTGAAGAGGACTTTGACTGAGCGTGCTACTTGTTTCGGTGGCACTAGCGTCCGCAACGAATGAATTTGGACGACTAAGTGTCCTCATCCTGGGCTTGTCTTCGTCGACTTCGTGCTCTTGCATTAATGGCACTTTTTCAATAATCTCGTCAAGCTCCACTGTATCCGCCGAGAGCTTCTTGGTGGCCAGGATGTCCAGTTTAATACACTGCCACTCGACACGCACGAAGTTCCAGATGATACGACGCACGACTTCTGCGACCTGCGAGACGAGCTTGAAGTGCACGCCGCGGTGCATCCAATCCCACCACTTGGTGACCCACAGAATTCGCAGCACGAAGTCCACAACGATAACCAGGTAGTAGATCTTGCGTGGTCGGTACGTCAATTGGTGGCGTAAGAACGCCACTCTGTGAGGCAGTTTGGGCTGTCCGAGACCCCAATCCATGACGACGTCCCATAGGAACGAGTACAGTGAATTAAACACTGCACATAGCAAGAAGAAGCTGCTCTGTTCGGGTCGTGACAGACCCATCAGCATCGGATACGCCCCCACTGAGATCACTAGCAGACTTGAGCAGTATTTCATCGTATTTAACAGGTGAAGAAACCGATCGTTCACGCTTGGTGTCCGTTGAAACGAGATTAAACACTGCGTCGCTCGAATACTAAAAAAAAAAAATAATTAGTTTAAAACATCGTAAGAAAACAATTTGAAAACTTACATGTAAGGTGTACTCGCAGCGAAGTACGGTAGTGGCGAGTTCTTGAGCTTGGAGATGTAGGACTCTCTCAAGTCCTCGGGCTCGCTGGTGAACGACATCAACAGCAGCATGAGCGCCACTGACAGATCCTGTATGAACTTGGACAGCGACGTCATCCCGTCGGCCATGAACACCTCAATAAAGGGCGTGGCGTGCGCTGGCAGCTTGAAGGAGAACTGCTGGAAGGGCCAGAAACAGCGCGCCAGCTTACGCAGTACGAACATGCGGAACTTGTAGTGCAGGACGTCGAACGGACACAGCAGTAGCGAGGCCGCCACGATGGCGTAGCCTAATAGTAGCATCTCCATTCGCGTCTCATCCACTCCAAAAGTGTCGCTCCGCCGGGCCGCTTCTCCGTTGAAGAGCAGCAATTGCACCAGACACATGAAGAGCCCCGTCTTGAAGACGCCGCCAGCCGTGGGCACCTCATCCGGCCGCATATCCATGACTCTATCGAAGGCCAAGCTGTGCTTCTTGAAGACGTGCAGGTTGGCCGCAAGGCCCAGTAAGAAGGTGTTGACGGCCAGCGGTCCGCACACGAAGAACCACGTGTTGACGTGGTACGGCGCCGGGAGCTGTTCCTCCATCTTGGCCAAACTGGGACTGACTGCAGTATCAATTGGGTTCTGAAACACACGCGATTGGACAGTTAATAATAGACGAGGCGTTGCGATTGGATGGAAATGAGGGACTGTTTTGACAAAAGGGGTAGGGAGACTTGAGGACGACCATGCCACGTACGTGGGCAAGAATACATGAGACGAAGGATTGTGCAATTGATCTTTACCACGTTGTGGTACGGGAGCTCTAAATGGGAAGGATATGTTTAGTTGCGCACATTCACAGCGTCGGCCTTCTTGATGAGTTCGATCATGCTGCCGTGGATGTCGCCCTTGTTGTTGGACACCACGATGTTGCGTGTACTGAGAGAGAAAGGAGTGCCATCGCTGTTGGTCACTTCACCGCCGGCCTCTTTCACCAACAGTGCGCCGGCTGCTACGTCCCAAGAGTTGAGATCAAGCTCGAAAAACGCCTGCAACCAAAACATACACAATCTGTCAGAAAAAATCGACAACACCCCCTGCTATGGACAATTGACGCACCGATTGACGTCCGGCCGCCGTCCACGCGAGCTCGATGGCCGCTGCACCCTGTAGACGCAGACCTCTGCACTTGGCCGAGAACTCACGCGCACAGTCCAGCATGGGCAATCGTACGCTGTCCTTGGTGCCGATACCGAAGCCAACAAGTGCCTCAGAGAACGAAGCCTCGTGACTCACGTGAGCTGGTTGGCCGTTCAGGAACGTGCCTTTGCCCTTCTGTGCCGTGAAGATCTCGTCGCGGTACGGATCGTAGATAACACCGACCACGACCTCGCCCAGATGCGCGCAGGCCACGGACACGACGCTGGCCGGGCGGTGGTGCACGAAGTTGGTGGTGCCGTCGATGGGGTCCACGATCCAGAGCCACTCCTTGCTCACCATGTCACGCAGCGCTTTGGCCGAGGCCTCGCTGCCAGGCTCTACGTTCTCCTCGCCCAGGAACTCGTGGCTGGGGAAAGTCTCCTTAATAGTGGCGAACACGAGGTCCTGGCATTGCTTGTCCACAACTGTGACCAGGTCGTCCTTATTCGACTTGGTCTTCTCCACGCGCGACGTGCTCAAGTGCGACTTCATATGGGCACCGGCGGCGCGTGCGGCTGCGATGGCCACCTGCAACATCGCGTCGATGTCCGTGAGGTCGGGAGCGGGGGCAGCCATGATTAGACTTGTGCTCGACGAGTCGTAAGTTGTAGTGACGCACCCGTTGCAATGATGACCTCTAAATGCGATATTTACGGTACTGTGTTGCCAATCGTTGAATTGTGTATTTCGATGCTTGAGCTTTTCGATTAATACATGTACGTGCAATATGGAGAATCAGCGGGGTACCGACTACATGTACATGTATTTCTATGGTTTCGTATTAATGTGCGATGATTTTTTTTGTCTGCATGCTGCTATTGTACGCTTTGATCATTCTTTAGCTTTTGCAGGTTCTCCCTCCTAGGTGAAGTACAAAGGGAGGGGGGATCACGTTGCTACCAGCACTTGGAAAGAGAATGGTAGATCATCAAAGGAAAGCTTAGGGTGTATCCACAGACTATATCAACAGAAGACCCCCGAGATCAGAATACCACGTGATCAATTCGTCCTATCGGGAGCATGGATAACTTCTGAAGTACTAATATAGGTTGGAGCAAAGAGCCGACAGTCTTGTCGAGTGAGCATTATTAGAAAGGATGGATGGCAGTTGCAGCTAACTTCCGCCGCGACGGATAATGACGATGAGCGCGGGCTATGACTCTACAGACGCGCGAACCGTGATCAGTCGATTATGGTCAAGGATTTGTAAATCTCGGGGCCGTGTGGCTGACTTGGATTCAGTTACTTCGGAGAACTGGGCGACAAATTACTATCAACAGGAGAGGCTTCGTCGCAAAGAACAAAGGTGGAGAACTTTACTACATCCGTCTGTCTTTGGAGCTTGTTTAGCCATCTTCGGTCGCACAATAGTAGGCCCAATCGTGTTGCTGCTGCTGTTTACCGCTACCAACTACCTCTCGCCAGAGGCCACATTCCTCATCACGTCGGACAGCAGCTTCTTCGCGTTTACTGAAAAAGATTTATCGATGGTTGGCGGATGTACCGATTGTCTGGGGACCTGCAAAATCGTGTTATTAACGTATGCAATGTACAATAAAGTATCTCTCACCAGTGGGCCTCCTTTCACAGCCTTCACCGGTATACCCCCAACAGAATCGCTGTACAACTTCAGTTCTCTTGGTGCTGATGCTATCGCGCTTGGAGAGGCACTGGATGCCAGTGATGCGTTATGTCAAAGCAGCGTAAACGAGTGGGGATCAGCAATGAACGTTCTAACCGGTACAGCGCAGCAAGTCATGGATGTCATTACCACTCTTAATCTTAGTATATCTCTGCAAACAAGAGGAGAGCTCGAGCTTGGGATTGAGCGTGCAAAAGAGTGCGTCACTACGTGGAGTATCATGGCTCTCCCTCGATTGTTTTTCTATCCGATCGACCTAAACAGCACCGGATTCGGCGAGATCCCTGCAGTGGCTATCAACATCGCTCCTGATATAACTGAGTGCCGTCCAGATGTCCCCATGGACTACACCGTTCTCGGTTCGACGTTGGCGTTGGAGACCAATGGTCGAGACTTGCTGGCTGTTGTCCCTGAAGCTCTGACATTATTCCCTTACAGCTTCAACAGCACCATGGCCCCAGTCTCACGCAGGGTTAAAGCCTCCGAGACCAAATACGAAGTTACCTCTGTGCTAGAACCTTTACTACATGCGTACTATGGAGCCTGCCGGGTACACGAGGTGAATTCTACTGGCGTATTCATCGAAAATACATGCGAGATCTCCGAGCATTGGGCCAGCTACGGACTAATGATACAGTCTCCGGACGACATGCCGCTGTGCAGCACTAGCGATGTCTGTATCCACAACTACTATAATTCACAATGGGAATGGGTGAGCGAAATCTCAGCAGCTAAACCGAACCGCGTCGCCATGTACAGGAACACCTTCAGAAGTCGATATGCTGATAAAGTGGGTATCAGTGTGCTACCAGGGATAGTGGTCATGCAGATTTTCATCATGGGGATGGTTAGTCTGTACGAAGTGATGTCACACAAACGGTCTGTATTGCTGACTCAAATCTGGGCGTATCGCTGTCAAAACGGCAAAACTCAAGTGGTCTATCTCGCCGAAGTTGCGTATCACTTAATTTACAACTCGGATTTGTACATGCTCGGATTCTCGACTGGGACGCTAACTACAGAGTCCCTTGCAAATCTTACATGCTGTTTCTACGCGTTTTCGTATTCTTTTATCAATCTGGCCAAGGCGCGTTCAGGAGATCAACAGCTTGATCGTCACTTCCGGCTCACGTGGGAAGCCACTCAAGTTGTTATCACTGCGTGTGTGGTAACTACGCTTCGTGTAGTGCAGCGTAATCCGTTGGAGTCGATCATTTCAACAAATGCTGAAATTTTACGCAAAACTTCGGCACTTGGTGCGAAGTATTGTGGGCTCAACGATGCCTGTATCATTTTCACGATCAATGCACCGACAATTATTACGCTTTTGTCAACACTATTGGGCCTTTTGGCAGTAACTACTTCGATGTTAGTGAAAAAAACGAGTCCGAAGATGAAGCGAGCGGTGCTGTTGTCTAGGGGCTCACAGGGAAGTTTTAAGTGTGTCAGTCCGAATGGGGAAGTTGTCGTACCTGGGAAGATCACAGCGATGCGCTTCAGTCTTAACAAGCGCAACCAAACAGTTCCGGTTGATAGTCGCCCAAAGTACAGTCGTCTTACGTCGTTTGAAGAGAATTGTCTCGGCTCGCCGTTCAGAAAACTCTTTCATGATTGTGATGATTTCGCGTACGAAACCTACAATGGGAAACGCTGTACTACAGTGGAGGCACTGCTGCTTACAGGATATCTCTACTACGGAGAGCATATTTATCAAGCCACTAATGTGCAACTACTTATCGTGGCACGTTTGCTGCCGCGAAAACTCCTCCGCACGTTCAATGTGCTTATTTTACGCTGGCATTTGAATCCGACAACAGGGGTACTAACACATGCTTTGTCCTGTACGTGGTATGCAGCAAGTAAGGAGAATCACGCGTTAAATGGAATGACACCAGTAGCATGAGATGACAACTTTTCAGTTGCCACCACTCCTTCTTGCTAGCTCATGTCGTGTGCTCAAAAAAATTAAGCCAATATTAATGAAAATGAGCCTTGTACAGTAATATGAGACACGATTTTGCGTTTTTTTTTCTTTTTTATGAGAAACATTGAATACAATGTTCTATATTCTAAGGACAAACACCTTTTGCCCATACAGTTACCGTATTATAAAGACCAACAGAACTCTCATTGGTATCGACTCTTTTTCGAGCACCACCGCCTGCATGTGGCCAGGCAAAGACTATATTATACAGTGCATGTAGAGCGTATGAGCAGATCTAAGCATTTCCTAAACAGGCCGCGTTGCCAATATAATGCTGCCAATAGCGGAAATTCTAATTGATGTCCGCTTTTTCCAAACTGATTACAGATTGCAACCGTGGCGTATAATTGGCTATCATATGCAACGGGCGGGACTTTATTCCGCGTGCGCTCTCGTGGTTTTCCACGTGCGCTTTGGCGCGTGTAGGTTTTCCGCTTTCCCACGTGTGATATTGGTCTCGCATAAAAAGTGTAATGGTTCAATACCGGGCCGTTCGATACCGGGCCGTTACCAATTGATACACTCATTGTCACTCAAGAGACGTCAGTCAGTGTTACGTAATATGTGCGACCAACGCAATTGCAAGTTTCTGTACAATTTCTTTAGTAATCGTTGACCGAAATGACCCGTCTTTATCTATAACTGGTGGAACTTTACTCCATCAAATTATAAATATTGCGTATTAGTTTTTATGAGCTACTTTAAACTATAGACACATGCCTCAGCAATATATTTGGATTACTAAATACGAATTGATCAAAATTTTATAATTCTGGAAATTGTTTTAAGATTTTTTTTTAATGAAATCCAAACACTTTCACATAATATGTATCAACCACAAATGAGTTGTGTCGAGATCCCGTAACCTGAAGTGGTAACGGAGAAGTAACGGTATGTGATTGGTTAATAAAGCATGTCAATGTACATCAAGTCTCTCCTCGCTACATTTTCGTCATTCTGCTGATCGGAAAACAACGCAGCGAATTCGAAAACGAGGTTCGTGTTACTGCATTCAGATTGGAAGATACATCTACTAACTCTTTCTGTTTCTTTTTCTATGCCGGTGTGGTACTGTGCGTGCCGTGGGGTTGGCGTCGTGGATTGCCTCTCGAATCCTTCGCAGTGTCGTTACCGCACGCTCCGGCCGCTGTTTTGCTGAACTTGTAGACTGTTTTAAAGCAATATTTGCCAAACCCAGCTTGAAAAGACTGTCGACGTCTTCATGCGAGCGAAGCTTCTGCATAGGAGTGCCAAGTTTAGCCTCAATTGCCGTTGTTATATGGCGAACAAGTACTGCCCATTCCGAGTACATTTTGCGGTTGCGTTTTGTGAAATCTGTCGGTTGAAGTGCCCGGAACGGCGGGTAACCGCATGCAGGGTTGCCCAGCCACCACATCCGCCAAACACCGAGGGCATCAAGTTGGGGGAAGTCGAAATCTTCAGGAAGCCGATGGAAATGGCCGTCTGACCGCCAGTGATAAATAGTATTGAGAGGATCTGGTTGAGGCCTTTGCTGCGCCGTGGAATCTTGCGATTTCCACAAACCAGCCTCTTGTAGCATCGACTTAATAGTCATTGCGAGTGTATCTCGTGTGAGACTTTGCCCTCCAATACATTTTTCATCCAGCAGTTTTGAGAATCCATCAAGCAGCAGACTTGGTAGCTGTTGTAGGGATTTTCGAGTCTCAGCATGCTGTTGAAATAGCTCCACTTGTGGGGGAATTCCAGTCGGTCTCATCCAAGAAGTCCGTCCCACCACCAGCAATTTGCAAAGATCGCTCAATATACTTGGATTGCAGAATACGTAACTAGAACGCATTGGGTGTTTCGAGCTCAACTTTTCCACCAAGTAGTCGTAATGTTTGATAACTGAAGCTAGGCATAGCTTTAAAACAGGTGCAATATGCGCGTTCTGGTACATTGAAGGGAACATCCTTGCCAAAGACTCGGTAACCAATGTAGAGTTCGGATCAACAAAGTGGGGTGGCAAAACGGCGAATTGAGAGCTGTTTTGAGGGAGCCCAGCTACCACCCTACCCAAATACTGATCACCGGCGGCTTCATATCGGAAATACCGGTCCTGGACGCCCCCCATTGACCAACCACACCGTAGGCATACACTTACAACCGAAGGGCCTCCTGTGCTCCCACTACTAGCAAATGTTGCCACTCCCTTTCGAATTGAATGTGTCCCGTAAATCTTCTGACCAGTTAGCTCCTCCAACATATTTCCGAGAGTCTTGGAGAACCTCGCCTTTTGATTTGAACCAGGGAATAGCTTACCCGGCGAAAGTGCTGGGTTGGACGCAAGGAATAAGCCGAAAGCAAGCATCCAACAACACGCAGGCTGTAGAGGATTAGCATACACGTGCCTGGGGTCTTTAGGTCCCGATCCTTCTTGATTTGTCTTGGTCTTGTGTAGAACAAACCCCACACTATCATCCGAGTAGTGTAGATGCGAGGTATGTAGGGTTTCGACAGAACGCGATCGACACATTAAATTCCACTGGGTCAGTAAAAATAAATGGATAAATCCATTATCGTTCTGTTTGATCGAGAGTTCAGCAAGCTGCACATAGAGCGAAAACGTAAGGGGCTCTTTACCCGGCTTACGTTCATGACCATCTTGAATAGTCTCTGCTTCCACTCGTTGCAAACCTTGAAATAGCGTTTTAAGCTCGCCCATATACTCACGTGGAACTTCCATTCGCTGCTGTCGATACGCATCTTTCAAAGCACTCCTGTATCCGCTTAGCGTCGAGACCTTGTGCTTCCCTCCGTTCATCATGTACATAAGAAAGTTCTCGAAATGCTCAGGCGTAAAAGTAGTCAGATTAAGACTTCCATCTTGATTAAAGAACCGATCAGCAGAATCTTGTGTCGCTTTTACCCACTTGGTGACGCCGTTCATGTAGCTTTGATAGGCTTTCTTGGTGTTGGCTGAGGTACATGCTCGACGTACTTGAGCAGCATCAAGCTGGCCCGGTGGAGGTGTCCTGAATACTGTCTGAATGGCTTTTATCCTCTGGGCCCTCGCTGCAGGAAGAGGGGGGTCCTCGGCTCCTTCCATCGTGAGTGTAAGCTGAAAATGCAGACAGGCACCAACCACTGGTTATTCTATATTATTATCCAATCAAAATGGGGGTGAGGCCGTAACGCCTTTGTCTTACGGATTTTCCTCAAAGACCGTTGTCGAAAAGTGCTAATTGATTGGCTTGCAAACAGAGGCGTACAAAATATTTTGTACGAAATTGTAGCCTATCCTGGTTACGCTGGCATACAATTTCCTATAGTGGCGTTACAATTGTAGGAGAATGTGTGTTGATATTTAAAATCTCTATGAGAGACAGAAATACCAAATATAAACTCTACTTTAGAAACAACTCCGTTGGTTTCTTTTCTCGCGACCCCCTGCTACTGACACTTACAGCCTCAAGCTTGAATCCAAGCAACATGTCGTCTTCGGACGATCCGGATGCGGTCGTAAACGAAAGTGATTCGTCCTACGACTTGGATATAGCATCCTCTCATTCACTGCAAAGTGATATCGACGAAGGTGGTGATTCATATACGATGGTTTTAGCTCCTACGCTCGCTCCAGCGGCTCTCCCTACACCTATTGACTGGAATACAGCGTCAGTTGGGGACCTTTCAATCTCGAAAAGAAGCTAGAATTCAGCTGGATACATTAGAGAGCTCTTGTTTCAAGCAAAACACAATTTAAAACGAGGGAACACACAATCACTCAATACGACTGCAGCTCCCGCGAAGAATGCGGGCGGGAGGCTCGAATCGTGCTCCCGAAGCAGAAACCCGGTGAAGTTACAGTTATGGTGGCTGGAACACACACGGGATATACTTCAAATCAACCCCGCGCCGGCATAGGCAAGAGATTTGAAGTGGAGCACGATAATTTACTGTTGGGTGGGGCTACCCCCTGCAAGTTGTCTAGTTCTGTTCAGAGAACGCTATGCCAATCAGCCTGATATTCTACACAGCAGCTTCCTGAAGGCGAATAGCTGCGAAGCCGCAGTTCTGTGTTGAAGGATAACACAGTGTAAGGGCAGATTCGACATTAAGACGCTAGCGGAAGTTCTTTTATGGGCGTCTCCCAAGATGTGCAAGTCAAAGGAGCACTTTTATCAAAATGGAGAACCAGTGACTACTGATGAATTTCGTCAACCCCCTTCAGCGTACAAAGATGACCTCATAGACCTTCACATTTTTCAGGAGCGTATTTCTGATAACGAGGTGTCATTGGGTATTCTCGTTACTAGTCGTCGACTTTTTCGCAATTTACAATTTGCGCGAGAAGGCCACCGCCATCACGGTATCGTTGTCCCCGTCGAGGTACTTACCGTCTACATAACGGTGGATGGACACTGGTCCCTTTCGGTACTGTAGGAGTGTACCATGACCCTCGTCACGGTTATTCGCACAGATATTTTCCAATTGCCTACATATGACGAGCTGTTCAATGTGCTTCGGGAAAAGTGCGCGGGTTTTCTAGGCTGCAACCTCAAGGTTCAATTGTGGTACTCTTGATCATGCGGACTGTATTACCACTGCTTTCATAATGAACTGGCCAAATTTCATTCAACGAGCAAGGCTCCTGGAATTACTCCAAACAAGAATCCTATCGAAGCCCACATTCGACATTAAGCGGGTGGTCGGCCCAGCAATTACTGTGGCAACGGAAGTCGTTCTCAACTCTTCTCTGCCAAGAATATTGGCCTACTTTGGGTCCAGTCGTGATCGCAATTGATTTCCTGTAATTAAGCCGTATTCGCCAGGTCCAGTATAAATTAAAACTGTTAGGAAAGCAATGCTGCTGGCCAGTGATGGAAATTACAGAAAAGTGGAGAAGAATGGCTCCGCCACAGGATTGCTGTTCACACACGCAACTACATCATTGGGGACGAAGCATCGAGCCAACACGGGTCGACGAAAGCCGAGCAGTAATATTTACAGCCTCACTAGGAGGTAGTCTTCAACATCTCAGATTGTCCAAAACATCGTACCGCACTACTTGCCCCTGCATCTCGTTCGAGTTTTAACAGAGCTTCCATCCACACACAGCTGGGCTTCACTTAACTGACCCGAAACAGAGGTTTGTATAGTTCATAATCTTTATTATCGAGGTTAATACTAACATTTTTTCCGTAACATCTTTTAAATGTAGGTTCTGCGGATTCGTCAGAGGTATCGCTGTGACTGTAAAGCGTTTTTCGTGTCCGGGTGGATGTGCTGTCACATTCGGGCCACCCTCAAGTTTCTTGACAGCGTTAACTTGCGGGTGTTATCGAATTTGATACCAGCACGTAAACCTCTAAGGCGTCCACGGAAAACCCAAAATCAAACAGCACGACACGCCTTACACAGGTCAATTTTCGGTAGCAAAACGATTGGAAAAGCTGGCTTGGAAGCCTGGGTTTCCCACTAATTGAAAAGTACTAGTTCCGCTCGATATAAATGACTAGGAGGGCATCACAACCAAGAATTTCGATGGAATTGCGCGAGCCTGATTCACCAAAGACGGCAACTACTACTGAAAAATCGAGTTTGGTGATGACGACATCGACATTGGGCCGTACGACATACAGAAATGGGCTCATGTGCTAAACCACACAGCCAGATCTGGCTATGCGTTTGTCTGGGCTCCACAGTTTACAATCTGCGCTAAACCATTCCATCATTTTTTTTACGGATTTCTATCTAACGCCACATCTGCCACTTTTCTCCATCGTTATTAGCACGATCACAGTGTTAAAGTTTCAATAAGGTAGTATCACACGCCAAAAAATATCACACGCCGAAAACCTCAATGCTACACGCGCAAACCACGGCACATGCGTTTAACACGGAGCACACGCGGAAAACCACGTCCCCCACATGCGGAAAATATCCGTATCCATATGCAACCTTAATAGAAGGACGCCTACGCTACGTGGAGCACTGTATCATATAGACATTGTTTCTGGCGCCGCCGCACTTGCGCAGTTTAGATGGGCACCAGAGTTCAACGGTGGGCTTCATTTGTTCATATTCTAATAGTCTGTGGCAATAGGCCAGCGGCTCTAATGTACAAAGAATTAAGCACTCGCACACTTGTTATTCTCAAAGTGAATGTAGTGCAGCGCCACACAATTTAACGTCCAGGACACCCTATTAATAGTTCGCGAATACAACAATACCGACTCAGGGTGAGATCCGTGTCGATTAGAGCAATTATTAAGCGAACGCGCTGGAAAGCGTACTGCCTGTACTGTAGCAACTCTGCTTTAACTGCCACAGCACGGGTAGTTCTGGTTGGCGATATGGGTGCTTGCTATTAATAGCTGGATGAAAAGGTAGATGACGAGTTTACCGAGCGTATCTTGACGAATTGCTTGTTCCGCGGTGATTATGGAAAAAAATATTGGCCTTTACGCCGTAAATGTTTTAGCAATGTATTATTGTCAATGAGATATCAATATAAATACCACATTGCATGTCACATATATCAAATATCAAATTGCACGAGAAGAAAATATCGTAAAACATTAGTACAACGATCGTGAAAATTGCCCAGGTTGTTGTGAGTAGCTTAATGTACTGTAGAATCCTCCTAGGCTAAAGTAGGTAGCTTTAGCTATCAATGCGCTATCCTAGAGCGCACAACCGTAAAATAAAAAGAACATGATGTACAGGATCGACCAACTCGCCTTTACCATATACTGGTATGGGGTTTCAACCGAACACAACATCTAAGGTATACTGATGATCATCATTTGCTAGTCAAGCGGTTTCGTGCTTTCGTTGAGCGGTTTGAGCCAATACAACTCCTTCTAATTATCGCTTTAACGTTTATCCCCAAGGCAAAATCCATACCGGTATGATGACAAACTTCCTACGCGTACGATCGTAAGAGATAATTTTATATAGAAATTAATAAGGAGCAACAGCTGATTTGCTTAAAATGACCGATAGGATTATTTTCACCGTCTTACGCACAAAGTAACCGCCTTAATGATCTTGGTCGACCAACTCCAAAACATTCTAGCCTGCATCGTCATAGAGTGTGTTGTTTGAGCTGAAAACTAAGTATGCTGTTGTTTGGGATGTCATTGAGGTCACGATCGAATTTGGGTTGCTGAATCAGGGTGAAGGAATGGTAATCTATTGTTGTAATCATACTCGCAGGATGGAAAGCATACTCGTAAACTCAATGGGGGATTAAGATTTAGTTGTTTTGGTTGACTTCAGGTTTTCAATGTGCATTTTCTGAGATAGCAGCAGGGCCGTGGGCAGCCCAAATCATGTTATACTGGGAATACCTCAGAATGAGTAATGGACAGCCCAAACAGGATTAATTGCGTGAACGTAACGTAAATGGGTCAACGTTCGGACAACATCCAAAATATCGTACTTAGTATGTGATTAAAAGTTCTAAGAACATGTATTCCCAGTGTAAGTCGCAGACGATCTAGTTTGATGCCGAATCAGATACTGTATAAGTAAACAATAAAAAATAAATTACTATGGATGCGGGAAGCGAGCGCCCCTTTTCCCTCATGACTACATTTTCGAAGTTCCTGAAGGCAATTTTTGTCCGTTCAGCACAAGATTGGTATGGGCATGTAGCACGAGGAGATACTAATAAGACTGCAGACGGGTTAACGCATTTGTGTTAGACTCTGCAGTTATCAGGACAAGACTAAAATCTAGCGCACAGAAAGTGATCGCCCCATCATAATCAGATATCAACCTATACAAAACCAAGCCACTATGCTCAATGCTCCTCCATTCCACATTTGTATGCTGCAATAGCCCAAAAGTTAATTGTTGTGGTCAGATTTCCAGGATGTGACTACCAATAAAAAGGCATTTCTAGTGGGGTAGTCATGCCAATCAAAAACGCGTGAGGCGAAACCTCCAGAGCTCGTTTCGCAATTTTTATGAATTCAGCAAATCATGGTGAACACGAACGTAATTTTGTTTTCTTTCCAGCGAGAATTAGGACAGAAGTTCCGGAGGAAAACGCGACCTAAACATGGCCATGAAAAACGCCCCCTATCTTCCTGGAAACACACATTGGCGGCTTCAAAATATTGAATAATATGCACGTGTTGTGAGCTTTCCCATGCTACTTTCAGCTCATATATCCGACCTCGCGTTCACCAAATATTGCACATTATATTTTGACTGCATAACAATGTAGAATGGAGCAGTACTTCGTACGGCCACCTCGACCTTCCTTACTGGGTTAAGACGCTTGGGTATAAGCGCACAATCTTTCGCTCTATGGCGTCGTCGAAAGCGGCCAAATACGCGGTAACTTCACCCTTAGATCATCCAGTGAGGTGGATGGCGACCGGTACAGGTCCCGCTTCATTTCCGCTCAAAGATTCTCGATGGGTTTCAAATCTGGGCTTTGTGCTGGATGGTTTAGGTTGGTCAGCCTAAGCTCCTTCAAGCACTTGGTAGTAGCTCTAGCTCGAAGAGCTGGAGTGTTGTCATGCACAAATGTTATAGGGTAAGGAAGTACGTTAATGGTTCTTGTAAAAGGAACGTGAGACCTGAGAATCCGAGGGTAACAGTCACCAGTTAACGATTTCTCGCAGAAGTAGAGAGGTCCAACCACACAGCGAGTGTTTGCCACCCGCCCTTGAGCGTAGGGAGGGCCGCCACGCGCTTGGCCGAAGGCAATCACCACGTTCGGAAGAACACTTCCTAAATGTGGGACTTCAAGGACATGCATTCTGTTACATTTAAATTCACTATGAAGATTCTAGCCCGGTTCAAATGAGCCGCGGTTCACTACTACGCTACGCTACTTCAAGATACGATTCAAGGACAGCTTAGAATCTAGTATAGTGAAATGCATATACTTTCATAGGATACATAGGGAACGCTAACTAGCACTACCTCGTAGCCAACAAACAACTAACCATTTCAATCTCACTTTCCAATTTACCTACTTCGAAGCACAGTACAACTGCCCCTCAAGTTTCGCCTTCGCGCGTTCGCCGGCCTCTCTTGCCTTCGTTCGTCGCTCTTGCTCCGCGCTTTCACCAGTCGTCACACCGAGCCTGTTTGGCTCGCTTCGCCACCTCTCCCTTGCCAAACGGGCGCGCGCTGTGTATGGAGATCACGTGATCCATGGATTATAGCGTGTGGCTCCAGCGACGAAGCCTACACTGCTACGACTCGGGTCCTGTTAGCCGCGCACAAACGCAGATATGCGTGAACCTGTCGGCGTTGTACTGCATTCGGGTCACCAAGGTGTAGATCATGTCCATGACATTGTTTCGTTAGCCGATCTGATGGTCATGATAGACGTCCAATAGATTCCGTAAGAGCTCAAGCAGGTTTGACTTCTGGGCGAAAAGTTTTCTCCGCTGTGGCTGGCTGCAGGCCAGCTTTGCTGTCTCGATCTCGGTGCATGGTGCCAAGTTGGCAAGCCGATGCGGTGCAGGCGAGAAGCCAACTATGTCAACGGTACTGATCTTCACGTTTGCAGAAGAAGTCACTCCAGGTGGCGGATTCTAGGCCTTCCGAAACTGCAGCAAACACAACAGAATAACAAGATAGCTTCAGTGCATCTCAGAGCTCACAAATGTTGTTGGGGGTAGTTGAAGAACAAGCGGCGGTCCTCTCTGTCACAGTCAGAGCGCGGAAACATTTGCGCCAACTACGGGTTGATGCAGTTGACGAAAGAAATCCTGGTAGTTCACAAATTCGTCGAGAGCGCTGGGCTTGAAAGAAAAATGCAAAGTAGTTGTTCAATTTGCCTCCACCGGGCGAAGACGTGGGCGCCTTCAAAATAGCAACCGTTGTCCAAGAAGTCGTAGATCAACCTTCTCAAGGCTTTGAGTCGAGCTCGTACCCTTGATATATTAGCCAATAGTGCAATCGTGCAACAAAGAGAATAAGAAATGAGAGAACAGCGAACGATAAGTGAGTAAACCGTCTTGCGCCCTGCTTGTGATTCATAGCGGTGATAATGGAAGGCCGTCTGGTGCCCGGCTGGATCTCGGCCATAACTCGACAATATGCTGATGGAGCTGCAACTTTGTTACTTTCTCTATAGTAACAGGAATCTGAAAAAAATACTGGCTACTATACACCTTTGCCCGTCCAAACTGAGATTAGTTTCAAGCAAAGCGGACAATTGTTTGTTGTGAAATATGAATATCAAGTTAGGCAAAAATAATCAGCAAACAAAGCGAGAATAATTTCATCCAAAACAAGACAAGGAAAGGCGGCAGCCGTAGAATGCGTGGTGAAGACGTCTTGGCGCCAAAATGCGCGCGAAAGCCCGCGCACGAGGCTAAAGTAGCTCACTTCTCAATTCACCTGTTTGAGCGCAGATGCCCTCCCAACCCCTCCTCCGAAAGCACTCACCGACCGAGAAGCTTCGCGTTCTTTCTGCGCATCGTGCAGGGCGTGCTGACTGGCTTCAGGTGGCCGAGAACAACGGCATATCGCGAGCAGTGGCCTGCCGCATTGTCGCCTCAGGACGCGTGGAGGATGTGCCACGCGGCGGCCCTCGGGGTAGCGTCGTGAAGATCACAGAAGAGGCCAGGAACAAGCTCGAAGAGTACCTCAACGAGAATTGCACATTTACATTAGAAGCTATGCGTACGATGCTCTTTTTGGACATGGGAATTAACGTCTCCACCTCAACGATCTGCCGCCACTTGCTGGGCATGTTGTACACGGTAAAACAGACACGCATCGAGACCATGACGTGCAACAATGACCAAACGCTTCAAGTTCGCCGAAGCTCTCAAGGACCATCAAAAAGACGGTGACTGTATTATCTACTTTGATGAGACTAACTACAATGTGTACTGTAAGCGTGGTCGGGGACGCGCGCGTAAAGGAGAACGCGCTACACTGGTGATGCCACCGTCAAAAGGGGCCAACTTGCAAGTCCAGTACGCGGTCAACTCAGCTATGGGTGTTGTACTCCATCGGCTGGAGAGGGGGAGTATTCGTATGGCCCAAAATGCTGCCTTTATCGACGAGATTTACCGCACAGTAAAGGCGTCTCCTGTCTTTCAAAGCAACTTTGCCGGTAAGAAGGTTGTTATCGTCCTGGATAGCGCTCCTGCACACCGCCAAACGGAAGAGCGGGTGGAAGAGCACGCCGACCTGAAGCCTCGGCCCGTACTCTCCGATGTGCAACCCCATCGGGGGCTGCTTCTCCCCACGGATCAAGGCGTATCTTGCTTTGTATCGCGAGGAGATTTGTGATCGAAGCAACATGGCGGATGATGACGGCACCCCGTTGACAATTAAGGAGCGTACCATGCGCTTCTTGGAGAAGGCGGCTGAAGCGAGTATCAAGTGCATCACCCCCACGTTGGTGACGAATATGGAGTTGCACTGTCGCGATGCGGTTAATGCGGCGGAGAAGATGAACGACATGGTCTACGGTATCTAGGTCAGTAGATCGTCTCTTTTTGAATGAGATTATTCTCGGATTCATTGGTGCTTTTAATCACGTAAGAAGAAAATTGCAATAAACAAAAACATGTTGTCCAGTTTGCTTGAGATTATTCTCAGTTTGGACGGGCAAAGGGGTAGTACTATAATAATATATGAATTTGGAATATAGTACTACTTCGAAGTATCAATTACTGGAGGAGCAACTGAATTTCTGAAAGACACAGCAAATTATGAAGATATACAAGCATTAATTTCATCCAATCACGTTGCGTTATAATTCCATCCTGATAACCCCGTTGCACTGACACACAACAGACCGGAGAAGATCGCTGCTCCATCATGTCCTCCGCCGCAACCGCGAGCGACAGCCAGGAGACCAAGGTACGCACCCCACCCTACATCCATATATGCACTTGCGCACATGCGATCCCCACTCCGAATTGCGCTTTCCACGCTGTGAAAACAGCGAATACGTGATGCCAATCAAAGTCCCTCCCAATAACCATATAATCCCTTATTCTTACACAGGAGCCAGTCACTTTGCAGGAACCGCTGCTCAAGTACGAGCGCGTGGGCGGCCATTTTCACGCCATCTTCAAGGACGACTCACTGAGCTGCATCGCATTGCACGTCAACTTCGTATGTGCAGGCACATACGGAGGCAACGTGCTGCTCTTGGAGCTGGATGGCCGATTCATCCGCCGTCTACATCAACACTACAAGAAAGTCAACCAAGTATGCATCGATGAAACCGGCCAGTACATCGCGTCCTGCTCGGACGACGGCACTGTGGCTGTGTATATATTATTTCCAGCTACTGGAGCTTCAGCAGCTACTGATATCAGCGGCAACAAACATTCCAGCAACCAAAACAAAGAGAAGGCGAGACAGGTCTCCGTGTCCAGCACTGGAGGTGAAGTGAACATCTACAACTACTTCAGTGCTGTATACGCCGTTCAACTGGAAGATAGATATGCTATGAAAAGAGAGAAGAGCTTCGCGTGTGGAGGAGTGAGTGGCCAACTGATTATCAACAAGAGAGGCTGGATCATCGACAAGGAGAGCACAGTACACGAAGGTGAAGGTCCCGTGCAGCTGATCCGCTGGAAAGATGGGCTAGTTGCATGGGCTAACGACTGGGGAGTAAAGGTCTACGACTCGGAGAACGATCAACGCGTCACGTACATTGAACGCCCACCCAATTGCCCTCCTATGGAGCTTTGTAGGTGTCATCTGGAGTGGCAGAGCAACGATGTTCTACTGGTTGCATGGGCACATACGTTACGTGTAGTGACATTCAAAAAGGGGCATGCAGAGCAGCCTGCATCGCCGACTTCTGCTGCTGCGTTGGACGCTGTGGAGCACCAATCGGGTACCATAACAGCGGAAGTTGTAGCGTTATTAACGTTCGACTTCTTTGTAGCTGGGATCAGTCCGTGGGGTGGCGGCTCAGTGGTGTCAGTGCTGGCCTTCCGTCCACCAGGATCCGGATCATCCACTGGGCCGCCGACGTCTAAGTCTGCAAGGATTGAAGGCGAAGGAGAGAGCGGAGAGATGCCGTATCCTGAGGTCCACGTTGTTCGGCTGGATGGTAAACAACTCAGTGCTGACTTACTGAACCTCAAGGGATACCAGCGACTACGTGCGTCGGATTATATGATGCCTACACTTCGGTACGCTCACGCACATCCGTCAGATTTGGAGACCGACCCGTCCTCGATCTATGACGCTGGATACGGACAGCTTGTCTACGTATGCACTCCAAAAGATGTGGTTATCTGTCGTCTACGCGATGCTGATGACCGTGTACAGTGGGCGTTGGCGAGGAAACAATACGATCGAGCACTGGACGTGGCTTTGCATGACCCTCGAGCTCTTCGTCGTGTGGTGCTTACGGACGTTTTGGAGACGTATTTGGGAGATTTATTGCGACACAAGTTATTCCAGAAAACTGCAGAGGAGATCCATCGTCTCTTTATCGGAGGAGGGGAAGAGTACGCTAAGCTATGGGAGAAGTACGTGTACGTGTTCGCTCAGCGTGGACAGCTGAGTGCTATTGCGCGGTACATGCCTACAGCGAGCCCACGGTTGCCTAAAGTGCAGTACGAGATGGTGTTGAAGCACTTTTTGGACTCAGATCCAGGTCAACTACTCGAACTTATCCGGAAATGGCCCAAGCCGAGACGACAGGACGCGCCAGCAGTGAAGCAGCAGACTGAGAGTGACAACTCAGTGGCACCGGAGTACACCGAGACGACGCATGTGTTCGAGCCGCTGTACGATGCGCAGGCGTGGATTAACCAGCTAGAAACAGTGGTAAGACGACGACGCATTGCCGAGGCCGACGCTGAACGTCTTAGTGTGGAGACGATGTACTTGATGGAGGCGCTAGCAGAGCTCTACACCGCAACGGAGCAGTACGACCATGCGCTCCGTATTTACTTGAGTCAGGGCGAGTTCTGCTCCAACAAGGACTTCGCGTTTAAACTCATCACGGAGCACCAACTCTGGTCGCTGGTGGCCAACAAGGTGGTTAACCTCATGCGGATCGACAAGACCATAGCTGTGCGGATGCTGGTTAACCAGACGGAGCAGCTCAAGATCAGCGACATTGTGACGCAGCTGGAAGGCGAGCCGGAGTTGTTGCACACGTATCTACATGAACTTGTGCTGCACCGTTTAGGCGAGTATAATTCGGAGATTTACTCGGCTTTACACGAGAAGCAGGTGGCTCTGTATGCCGAATACGCGCCGGATTTCCTGCTTAAGTTCCTACAGACCAGCAACTTTGTGCCGCTGGAGAAGGTGAGTGACGTTATTTTACAGTATTTTATTTTACTTACGACATTGTTTGCTTCGCTAGGCGTACAAGTACTGCAGTGAGCATTCTCCTCCGCTTTGGGACACGATGATCTACATCCTCGGTCGCATGGGACAGCACAAGAAGGCGCTGGATCTCATTTTAACTCAACGTGGGGACATTAACCAAGCGATCCAGTTTGTGCAAGAACATGACGAAGGTTTATGGGACTATCTCATCGATTTGAGTCTAACCAGTAAGGCCAACGTCGAGGAACTGCTCAAATTTGCCTCGCAGCACAAAATTGACCCCATCAAGCTGATCCGCAAGGTACGTGACGAGAGAAGTTATTTTTGATAACGTATCTTACCGCTGTCGATGAATAGATTCCCGACGACATGGAGATCGAGAACCTTAAGCAAAAAGTAATTGCCATCATCACCAACTACCGCGTACAGGTACGCAGTTATTTAGGCATTTTTTGTCGCTCTCACATTCTAATATTTTTACTTTGTGTTAGCAAAACTTGTGTATCGGATCCCGCAAGGTGTTTGATAACGATCGCGTGGAGCTTCTGCACCGCCAAGTTGCAGCCCACAAGCGTGGCCGGCATGTGGCAGCCAAGAAGGCGTGTGCCATTTGCAGCGAGTTGCTGCGTGCTCCGTCGTCAGGAATGGAGACAGTACACGCGTGTGTGTTTGAGTGTGGACACTGTTACCATTTACCGTGTCTTGAAGAGAAGATGCGTATGTGGAAGAGTGCTGAGGCTGTGGAGTCAGGAGACTTGAACCGCACGTTGGGATGTTTCGTTTGCGACCACAGCACGCGCGCGTATGCTCGTTCAGGGGATCTCAATCAGCAGATTGCAGCGCTGACTGCACCGGCGAGAGGTGTCACTGAAGACCAGCTACAACGAGCCAAGGACAATTTACTGACAATGGCAAGCGTTGCGGAGTAGCGTTACGGTATGTGTAAGGAACTAGCACCCTATGACCCCTGTAGTGGAATAAATATCTTGACGTTGAGCCTGATTACCACCGTTGAAAATGTACTCAACATGCCTGAAAAATAAGGTGACACTTTAACAGCGCTGTAACCTGTAAACCTGTCGTAACACGCGCTGTATTCCTCTTCTCCTGAAAAATGGGCAAAAACACAAGAGCGAATGTGTCGAAGTCCCCAAATTCGCATGATATTTTATTTATCGGGTATCCCCCGAGAAACAAAGTCCGAAGTTGGCTGCCCACGCATCGCGAAATGATCCTGTTGCCTGCATTTCTTGACTGTAGCCAATCCAACCTAAAAAGACGAAGTCATAGCAAAAAATATTTCGCTACGCTTACTCCTCGTCCTCCTCGCCACCGGCGGCAGCGCGCTGAGCAGCACGACGACGGGCGACGCGGCCGGGGCGGCCCTGGCCGTAAGGCGACGTGACGGCGAAGTCAATGTGCTTCTCCGAGTCCATGCGCACAAGGAAAGAGGGCACGTCCACGAGCTGCTTGCCCACGCGGATGTGGCGCTGCTTGATCAGCACACGGGCGTGGTGGATGGACTTGGCCAGGTTCTGCTTGAAGACCTTGGTCTGGAGACGACGCTCCAGCAGCTTCTGCACGTTCAGACGCAGCACGAAGTCGAGCTCGTTCTCGTCCTCGGCGAGCATACCGTAGCGCTTGAGGCGGCGCAGCAGGGCCGAACCCTCGAACAGACGCTTGGGGTCCTTGGGGTCCAGCGTCAGAAGCTCACGAGCGGCCTTACGCAGCTTGGACAGCGCGTACTGCACGCGCCAGATCTCACGCTTGCAGCGGAGACCGTACTCGCCCAGCAGCTTCAGCTCCTGGTCAAGACGCTCCTTCTCGAAGGCACGCGAAGGCGTACGGTACGTCTTACGGTAGTTGCGGTGACGCGAAATCTTCGGCATTTTTCGTGACTTCTTTTTCAGGCGAATGCGATGGGAGTGGAGACGTCGGGGGCTGCAAGACCACAATGCGCCAAAAGCTTCTGCACCAGCCAACCACCAATATTCATCAGCCAATCAGATCGCGGAAAAAGGACATTTTCAACCAGTCAGAAGGAGACTGTGAGAAGTGATATTATTTCCTGTGAGACTTAGTACTTAACTTTTTACAGCCAATAGACGGATAATGTAGCTACGATTGGCTGAAATCAATCTACCAACATTCTCTTTTGGTGCAACATTTACCCACAAGCGACATTCACTATCACCTTACAAAGATCAAATCAAATTTGAATGTTGCAGCAGTGGTTCCAACCGTGTGGCTGCGGCCCATTTGACTTTGAGGGGGAAGCTAAACTACCAGCAGAGCCATGGAGAAGGGCAAGGCCGCGATGGAGAACATGAAGAACATGAAGATGCCGCCTGGCAGCAAGGGACCGGCGGCCGCTCTGGCCAAGGTCGCTGTCTTCACGGGCGCGGCCATCTACGGCGCCTACATGTCGATTTACAACGTGCCGCCTGGACACCGTGCCGTGGTCTACAGCCGTATCGACGGTGTCGGTTCCCAGGTGATTGAACAGGGCACGCACTTCCTCGTCCCGTGGCTGCAGCGCCCGCTTATCATGGATGTGCGCACGCGTCCGCGCACCTACGCGTCGCTCACGGGCACCAAGGATCTGCAGATGATCAACATCTCGATCCGTGTGCTGTCCAAGCCCGACCGCGCACGTCTGCAGTGGCTCTACCAGAACCTGGGCACAGGTAAGCAGTCCAGTGCAAAGTATTAAGATAGATGGATACCGGTATACTGACTTTATGTTATCAGACTTTGACGACAAGGTGCTGCCTTCGATTGTCAACGAGGTGGCCAAGCAGGTGGTGGCCCAGTTCACGGCCGCCGAGCTAATCTTCCAGCGTGACCACGTCTCGCGTCTCATTATCGAGAACCTGGTACGTACTGGTATTATAGAAAGCATTGAAATACCGGTATTTACCATTGATACTTTTGTGACTTGAGTAGAAGCGTCGCGCGGACCGCTTCGCCATTATGCTGGAGGATGTGTCTATCATCCACTTGACGTTCGGTGCCGAGTACACGGCCGCTATCGAGGCCAAGCAGGTGGCGCAGCAGGACGCCGAGCGTGCCCGTTTCGTCGTGGAGCGCGCAATTCAGGAGAAGAAGAGCACGGTTATCCGCGCTCTGGGTGTGTCCAAGTCGGCCGAGCTGGTGGGTGAGGCCATTAAGAACAACCCGGCCTTCGTGCAGCTGCGTCGTCTGGACGCCGCTAAGGAGATCGCCACGGTCATCTCGCGCTCGGCCAACAAGGTTTACCTCAACTCGGACTCACTGCTGCTCAACATCCTGCACGACACGGACCAGTCCTCGTAAGTGAAGTTATTGGGGTCTACTGCGTCTGTTGAATGGCATAACTAACTGCTTTTTGTGTTGTTTACTGTGCAGGTTCGGCAAAAAGAAGTAAGCTGGAGAGTTAGAGCGGCGCTTGGGCTCTCAGTAGGATACGGTCGGTTATTCCCTCGATACGAAGACAGGTTTTTAAAGTCTGATGAACGAAGGATGCAGTCACCACAAGCTGTGGCACATTCCATTGGTCGTGGTCGTCTGATAGCACCAGTACGTCGCGTTGCTAACCAGGTGCCACCTATAAGCACTTTAGCCTGGTGGGGATCGAAACTTTGGTTTACCGATACGTCGACTGAGATCGGAGCGTGCGCGTCAAAACTGGTGTAAAACGTGATCTCGTATGTCGCCCGTTGAGTTTACAGTTCAGGTTCAGCTGCGACTTGAAGGGCTGCATGCAAAACTTGTCCGGGATCCCTCTTTGAACATTCCGTCTCCGCCAAACACCCTTGCACACACCTGAGAGGTACGTGTAGCTCATCGTAGAGGCCCTTGTCGTGGTCCTGGTCCTCAGCTTGTGTGATCTTCTCGCTGTCCACGAACTCGTTCATGCTGACACCTCCCGGGGGCGAAGTTAGGAGACTTCAACACCCTCTGGTCATTTCACTCCATGCCTGGTCTGATAGCTTGTTCTTGCCTTCAAAAACTATCATGACGTTCGAAACCATTTCCGTCGATGCGAATTAACCGAAGAGTTTGCTTTCGTCGAGTGGTGTACTTCTGAGCAAAACAACAACAAGCCATTAGCGTTTTGGACCGTTCTTCTTTATCCAGCGTGGAAGTCCTCGCTGCCGCTGATGCCGGTCGGGAGACTTCAACACCAACTTGCGGCTCGACAGCTTTATTTTCGAGGCTCATCGCGACAATTGTGGGTTACGCAATAACACGTGATGGCCAATATCGTCCACGCTGAGTTTTAATAATGTCGTTAGCTCGAGACCGTCATTTCCCGCTGCAAATGAATTGCACCACACGGTTACTCTCCGCCGCATCGCCATAGCGGGTTTCCACTCCAAGATCTCACTGGCTTTAAACAAATATTCGCATTATTGGATAAAGATGCTCTGGTCATTGCCAATCGAAATGTGGCATCGACTACCGCTGCCATCATTTCTTGCAAACTTTTAATCCATGCCAGCCAACAACGTATTCGAATAAGGCGGGTGCAATAAACGAGGTAAAATATTGTAAATTTCAGAGATGTTTTAGAATTTTAACAATAAAGGACAAATTGGATTTACCCAACGAGACACACAGATAAAATACGGATCACTTTTTTTGTTCACGCCAATCCATTCTCACTGCAAAATCGAACTACTTGCTCCCTCGTACTCGTCCAGCACCGCTTTTTTTTTAGCTTATTGCTCAGCGTAGTTTAGGATATTCACCTTTTCGTCACAAATGTGGTTGTCGTATGCTTAGCCGCAGGTGGTAGTTCTGCATAACATCATGGATCATGCCAGACAACTCGAAGTATCCGAAACGGCCCTGCGAACCGCAATTCTCGTTCCATCTTCAGTTGACTTGTAGCTGCCGTTACGGCGGTAGAAACACGCGGGAAGGCTTTGTTGTGGGCCTCGGCCTCCACTGACTAATCCAAGGCGCGCTCTGCTCATGGGAGTGGTCCAGGCTCAACGATCATGCAGTCGAGGACACGTGCTCGTGTCCACTCGTCGTTCATGCAGCGTGCTCCAAGTCCAATGCAGCGCAGTGACGTGAGCATCCTCTTCACCGAAAGGCACCACGACGCGTGCCTTGCAGCTTTCACCCTCAAGGAATCGTTCGACACCAAGCATCATGCCTAGACTCGAAACGATCTCCAGTAGCTCCTCCGTAGTGTTTAGAGCCGAATCAGCATAAAACTTCAGTCTTGAAGCATGCACGTCGTAGACACATCCCGTCACTAAGTGCTTGACTTCGAACGAGTGGGGCAGCGCCTTCACAACCTCGAACGGGCCAACCCATTGCCCTAGAAGCTTGAGATTGGGGAGTCGTTGGTCGATTCTTGACCCAAGCACGAAGTCGCTCACATCAAAGTTCACCGACGTGCCTTTGTGAGCTCTCATGTCCTGCAGCCGCTTGCGCTCTTTAGTGTGATTCACCTCGCGGTGTAGGTTCCGAAGCGAAGTGCGTAGATTGTTCAGTTTGTCACGATGCCCCTGCGCACCGCAGTGCGCAACCACGAGAATTCTGGCTAGTAAATCTTGAGCTCCATTTGAGATCCATTGACGTTCATCGACAAGCAGTACACCATTCTCCTCCGAAAAATCGACTCGCAGTCGAGCTTTCTCACGTCCAGCTACAGATTGCGTAGCTGCAATGTCCGTCCAGGTAGGGAATACGAAATCTGCGTTAATCAGAGGGCGAAGCATCGATAGATCTTCAACAGGAATGTTCCGTCGACTCGTGCTTGGACAGCCGCAACCAAAACCTGCTCTTCACCGCGAACGTGCCACCGGGACACATTAGCATCACCGGAAATGTGCTCAATGCGGTAGTGGAGATCACACAGCCGCATCGCCCACCGCTGTAAACGGTCTCGAACATGTTTCTTCAAGTCGGCATGCGGAGCAAATATGTAGATCAGGTTCGTGTGATCACAAAACAACCGGAAACCTCCCGGTCGCACCAGTAAGTACTCAAGGTCGTTGCAGGCCTTCACGGTCGGGTACGCCTCCTTTTCCACCACCGTCCAGTTGAGTTGTGAGTGCTTGAACGTACCGCCTTTGCAAATGATCAACTCGTGGTTCTGCTGCTCAACAGGAATGCCTGGATGGCACTGCATGGCTTGCGTCACCACGATACCGAACCCGAAAAGCGACGCATCTGTGAAGACGCACAGTTCAGAGCCTCTCACCAACGAAAGTACACTATCGTAGGCAGCCTTTTTATCACAATCCCAGGAGGTAGCGACTTGTAGTGCATTTCGGTTCCGTCTACCGATCCGCTTCTTTTCGACCTCCAACTTGTCATGAAGTGGAGCCACAGTGCGTGCGTAGTCCTGAAGCGAGTCACGCAACCAGTTCGTTGCAAATACAAAACGCTGCAGATCTGCCACAGTTGCAGGGAGAGGAAGTTCCACCAAAGCGTCCACGGGCGCAGGATCATGGCGAATTCCGTCGCTCGAAACTAGTCTGCCACACCACTTGATCTCTAGCTCAAACAGCGACGACTTGGCCATATTGAGCTTGAAGTTGGCTGCACTGACAATCTCAAAGATTTATCGGAGCGTCTGTTGGAATTCATGCATTGTTGGTGCGAATAAAATCACGTCGTCGACCCACACAAGGGCCGAATGTGGCAATAGCGGAGCTAGTTCGGTCTGGACTTGGCTCTGGAAATGCAGGGGCGGAGTCCATCGCTCCTTGGGGACTTGACCAGGTGTAAACACACCATCAGGCGTGATAAAAGAAAAAATATCTCTCGACTTTCTTCATGTAGAGGCAGTTGCCAGAATCCTTTGGCGAGTTCAACGCGTCCGAAGAACTTCTTACCGTTGAAGGCGTCGGTCGTTGTAGCAACACTAGGCATCGTACCAGCAATGGGGACTGCCATACTGTTGACGGCCCTATAGTCAATGGCCAGCAGGAACTCGTCCTTGGTCTCCGGCTTGCGCACAGGCACTACATCACTTGCCCAGCGAGATGCGCTATTCTGCACTACCAGTTCATTATCAACCAGAGATTGCACATAGTCACGGATAAAATCGGCTTGCAAAGGGGCATACTTGCGTGCAGGGCTCCTGTAGGGCGTTGCGTTCACCCTTAGTGACACGCGTAGAGGATCCACGTTGGCCGGGGGATCAGGACCAACGGCATCGCGCCAGACGGCTGGAAACTCATCCAGCAAATCACTGACAGTGCCGACATGTTCGCTCGGCAGCCCGTTGACCACCGCTCCGTCGAGTAGAGAGCCCGGCGAATTGATCGGCCTATTTAGGTCTGAAAACTCAGCACCTAAGGGACATTCTTCAGGCTCTGCCTCCGGCAGTGGGGATCCAACCAATTGGGCGAGTGGTTGCTCCACGTCGATGCCGATCCCCTTCAGGACATCCCGACCCAATAGGAACTCATCACCGCCACCAGATAGAACCCAGCACGGTACCGAGCGTAGTGAGACCAGCCCGGCCACTGTAGTTAGCTTTAGATCCAACTCCGTCTCTTGTTCGAACAGTTGGACCCTGCCATCAGCCATAACAGCTTCAACAGGCGTACTTAGTGGAGTAGTCTCTAGCGTAGATTGCGCTGTCAGTAGTGAACCCATTATCCTCTCCGGAACCACGCTCTTATCGGCGCCGGTATCGGGTGTATAAGGGACATCGAGGAGCTCGTTGATGCGTACAGAACCGGCAGGCGTCGCATAGCGGGTGGCCTTTGACTGCACTGGCCCCGAGCGCTGCTCTTTAGCCGCGCGAAACTTCTTCACGGCTTCTTCGCGCTGTGCGTCCGTGGCTGTGGGGCAGTCATTGAGCCAGTGTTCTCCGTTGCAGAACAGGCAACACTCACGAGGAGGAGAGCGCGTCCTGTTGCAGCAGCGGTCGTTGAGGGTGTTGGCGTGGGCTTGGTCGTAGCGCCACGTTGTGGTATCTTTTCTGAGTTGGTAGTCTTAGAATCTTGCTTTCTAGCATAATCCTGTGAAATTCGATGAAACCGCTGTTGTACCTTCGCATGCTCTAGAATCAGGTCGTAGAGGGCGACATCATCAGATTTGCAGTCACGCCTCTCTAAATCGATAAGGCGACCGATCTGAGCCTTGAGGACTGGGGTTGCAGGTTTTCAATCAGTAGTCGGCAGCGGGCTTTCATTCTACTCTTGTAGCCTGCGTCCGCTTCATTCTCGTTCCCAATCAGTCCTTGTAGCCCAGTGTCCTCCACAATCCCGTTAAAATCTTCGGAAGATGCGTACGTCGCAGTCATCAATGGTCATGTCCATCCTTAAGTTTGCACGAAACAACATCGAGACGTCAGGAACGAGCTCATTCTTGAGCGTACGGCAGCGTGCATTGATAGCACTCATGATGTCAGCATCGGTTACCGACGCAATAGGTTTCTTGAGCACGTACTTAGCCAGGTTCTTAAGCGTCATTCGTCTCACTGAACCCTTGACAGTAGCGACAACATTGCCGTACGTCTCACCCGTGGTGGAGCATCGGTGGCGAAACTTTTCCACGTAACACTCCCACTCACGATGTCACTCAATCAGAGCAGCGTGCTCCCAGCTGGTCAGCTCTGGAGCCTTGATGACCTCGAAGATCGGCTGAGGGATTAACATCTCTACGTCTCCGTCAGCGTCCACAGCGAAGCCCACCATATTGAAGTTGTTCAAACTTAACACTTCAACCGAACTTAAGTCGAACTTATGTAAGTCGCCCAAAACCGTAATTAGTCGAAGCTGACCGCACTTAGTAGAACTTGCGCCGAGGAGATGACGATCTGGACGATAGACGGTGTCCAGAAAGGTTGATCAACAAACTCACGCTTCAGAGAGCGCAAAGCTAGCTTTGTCGCGAGACCCGGGGTTTCCGATGAGGAAAGTTTATTAATGAAAGAAAAGCAAACAAACAAACTCGCTGATCTGAACTAACTCTCCTTGTGTTTTTATTCAGGCTCAACTATCATGCAGTCGAGGACACGTGCTCGTGTCCACTCGTCGTTCATGCAGCGTGCTCCAAGTCCAATGCAGCGCAGTGACGTGAGCATCCTCTTCACCGAAAGGCACCACGACGCGTGCCTCGCAGCTTTCAACCTCGCCATTGGTTTCCGTCAGCACGCTGGCGTGACCATAGCTTGATCAACGGCCGTAATCCGGCTGACATGCCTCTTGATATGATCGACAATTCAGCTGAGGTTTACTGAGAGAGTCTCGTTTTAAATACTTTTGTTCGTATCCGAAACAAAGATGGAGTTTGTTCAAACATGGAATATGCCTTGTTACCCCGAAACAAGCTTCCAGAATATCGCCGACGCAAAACAAGCAGTGAATGAATTGGCACCACCGAATGGATACGCTCTTGCCGTGAAGTCTGTTTGGACAGAGACGTGTATAGCAAGAGATGGCAACTGGTGAACGAGCTTTCAGGGAGCATTACAAGGATGGAATTTCTGCTGCGAGAGTTGCCGAGTGTTGACTACTTCGCAACATATAGAACCCATGAGCATTCACGAGCTACGCATTTGTTCTTAGCTTTTGGGCCCGCAAGTGATATATACAAAGCCAGTTACGACGTCATCCAACTGGATTGTATGTACCAGAAATATCGGAGACACATATTTTGGTGACTCATAATAACATTCCAGCCCCCCCAAGTTTTCTTTAGCGACGCTGATCTAGCATTAATTAATGTCTCCCCCACGATCCCCTACCAACTGTGCTGGTAAAGAACGTCGAGACGCACGCACCTAAAGACAAGTCGGAGAAGACGCCAATCCAACTGGTAGTACTGTAAGGCGGCAAGTCTCGGATCAACATCGAACCGTTTTTGCGCGCCCCTACGTGTTATACGGTCGCAAACAGAAGATGAGTTCGAGCTTAGAAAGCGAGAGCTACATATGCTTTCACCAATGGAAGCCCACGTGAGCTGACAATACGTGTCTGCGTCTTCGAAAACGCGTTCCTTTCGATGTTGAACGGACGGCATTGTTTATTTTGGACCTCTAGTCACGCCCGAAATTGAAGGATACCTTGCTACAATGACGACTTGGCTTGCATCTAGTAGGGGTGGTCTCCTGACAATCCAGACACGTCTTCGTCATTGGTGGGTGCAAGCCGTGAATAAAAATTGGGCAACGTAGGCTGACTTCATTTCACTATGGTAGAACACGTTCATTATATTTTACTTAAGTATTTAAATACATTTTCTAGTTATTAAACTCTATTAGCCTAAAGGAGGAACTTCTCCCTTCCGAGCCAACAGAAATACGACAGTGGCTCGATTAGAGCAGTCCTAATCCTTGTGTTGCGGACGTTATAGTACCGCGTTCACGAGATTCTGGAAATTATCCTTCAACTATTCCCCTCAGTGATTTTTCGTCTAATTGGTGGGTCTGGTGAAGGGACCACTCTTCGATTTGGGCTGCAAAGGTGCTTCTTGCGAGACTCGAGGCTGCCCAAACGTAAGAAGGTGAATGTGCACTGGACACTACTCAACGTAGCCGTGCCTTATGACGAAGCAGCGCGCTAACGGACCCTCTACACAGCGAGAAACAACCGCATCCGAGCGGCCAAGCTGGAAACATCACTATAGGCACCGCACACGGCGACAGCGGGAAGCACCGAAAGCGGAGTACCGAAGCAGCGAACACCCGGTGTGTGACAACACATGTTGAATAGTAAACCAAGCCAGATGCTAAACTTCAAAGATCGTACATTAGCAGTCTTCATCTAATGATCTCAGTCCTACATATCCCCACGAGCGAGGAGGCAAGAATTCCTGCTCATATGGAACAGTATCTTCACTTTGGACAGCTCAGTAAATGATGGCACGTGTGCAGCGTGCATCCGTTCTGCTGCTAAGTTCTGCTCGATAATTTCAAAGCCCGACGGCTCTCGATGTGTACTGTAGGCTCCGTAGCCGGCTTGATGTGACCTTTGCTGGTCGTTAAAATGGCGACCGCTACGACGTGTTGCTGGTTCTAGAACTCTTTAAGTATCACAGCTGCGAGCGCTAGGAAGCCACCAATGCCTGTCAAACTGTTCAGACCTTAGCTTCACGGTCGGTTCATCAGACTCGATGATCGTCATGAGGTCGTGAATGCACGGGCGGCCATGTACCTGCCGGAATGTACCGTCACCTACACTTCTGTCAAGATTGTGAACAACAATGGCACGAGCGTTTGCCCAGAGTTCATCGGCCTTCTTCAAGGCATGAGTGGTAATAATCTTCACGACGGCTGAGTAGTTGTCGTTCTTACGAAATAGAGTAGGAATATTGAACGCGTCGTTGGCCGCTTTTAGACTTGTTCGTGATGCAGCGTGACTCCACCATGGAAGGAGGCTCATAATGACTTTAAGGATATCACCTTTGTCAAGCCAAGATTTCATTGTAGCATGCGTACCTCGACCGTCGATGTTTCTCTACATCCGAAGTGGCTGTACTGATCCGTCCAACACCGTTCAAACTTGGTTCTATGCGACCACCACTGAGCATCCAGGTACTTGCCCATCGCACTGTTTAGTCGATGCAGACCAGCTCGTCTCTCCTCGAAGTCATCCTCTGTAGTTGAATCTACGGTATCATCGAACTTTGCCATGAAAATGTCCGTCTCGAGTGCAATTTGTTTTTCTTTCGCTGCATTCCATACAAGTTGGCTACAATACTGCCATATCCCATCTTTTTCTGAGCTTGGGCTACGACGTTGCGACGAGTGTGCTAAAAGGAGAGCATCTTAGAGCACTCTGGAAACACGGTCTCTGTGGCGTTGGTACAAGCTCGGTCTCGATCTGTAAAGAGAATTCTGGGCAACGGTACTATCTGTTCCGTCATGAAGGTCTTAAGTATAGTCAGAGCCCAGGTAAAATCAGGTTCCGCTTCCCCAGGAAGCCAAATCTGGGCAAACGGGAGAACAGTGTTTAAACCCGTTAGTATAACTACATTGAGGAGCGGCATACGGAACCGGTTGATTTTGTAGGTGCAATCTAGGATCAAAAGACTCATGAAGTCTCGGCTCAGCTTCGTGGTTGCAGGATGTCAAATAGATGAGGCGGTTGGACTCCGGATCGATCTCGTGGCAGTAGCAGAACCCTTTATCGTCGAGCATCTTGAACAGAGCTTCATTGCTTGTTCTGTTTGCAAGCAGCTTAGAGCGAATCGCAGCTTTCGCGTGACGATGTCCTTGGGGATCAACATCGTAACCTCATCCTGAATGAGCATAGTAGCGTAGATGCGAGACGTCGAGACGCCGGCCATGGTCTGAACCTCCACCAAGTCGCCCGTTGAAACTGAAGTTGTTGTTGACTTCCGTGCAGCTCGCTGGCGGTGCGCTACGTGAACACGTACGTCACTCGAAGGTGGGTGGCTGTGTGCACTGCTTCCGTCTCTAGTGTGTACATCCCGCCAAGGACCAGCTGTGTTGTCCGGGTCTACAGCTACGATGCTAATGCGCATTGGACACCCGTCTCTCTTTGTTTGTCGTAAAGGTCGTTTCCTGTCACTATCCGCTATTTTTCTTGCGTTTTTGGGTTTGCCCGAGCGGTCACAGGCGAAGAGTCTGTAGTGAATTTCCCCGTTCTTGTTCTTCTCAACCCTTTGACGTGACACGTTGCCGTTGTGCGCTCTAGGCCACTGGTGGATGGCTTCTTCTGCCTCTCGTTTGGACAACTACTCGTTCAGTGGAACTGGAGCAATAGTGTAGGTTGCAGGAGCTGCTTGTTCATCCATCTTCTTGCAAAGCAATTTTGTTTTGAAGTTGGAGTGGGGGTCAGCTAGTTATATTCACGGATAGCTCGGCGGTCTTATCTCACATCTTTTTTTTTAGATCTACCTGAAGTTGAAGTGTACTTATACGTATGATGCCAGCGCGTTACAAACCGGCCGTTCTCTGCTTCGGTGCTCCGCTTTCGGTGCTCCTCAGCGCTTCCCGGCGACAGCGCGCAGGACAGCTGCACCAGTGTCAGGACAAAAGGAACAGCAAGGGTGGCTTGGACACGTCAAGGTCAAAGGATAGGTGTCAATGATTTGGCACTGTTGTTGGAAACAAATGCACCCGCGCCTTCGGAGCACACGGTCAATTTCTTCGAGAGCAGTAAGGAGAATCCTACCATAATCGATGATGACTAAATGTACAATGGCGCTGAGTTTCTCTTCTAAATGAATAATTACTTAGTCCTCAATTGATATACATCATTCTTCTTTAGTGGTATGCCGTTTACGGTGTTGGTCTTATTTGCGTTAAGGCAATTTCGAATTGCTATGGCAGTCGGTGAGTACCCCCATCTCCCGCTCCCTCGCTGCCTGGTGTCGACGTTCAGAGCGTCGTTGAGCTTTTCTAGTTGCTACCGCCTCCGTTTCAGGTACTCGAGCTGGGGGTGCCGTCGGAGCCACTTTACGATTTATCCATCAATGATGGTGAAATTGACTAGGCTGCAACCTGCTCCCTGTAGTGACTGCATTAATCTGATGAGCACATGGCATCCCGTAGATCGTGCAGTATGCCCCCGAACAAGGTCGATTTAGAAGTTCTGGAGTCAAACCAATATCATCCGTTTGTATGAGAGCATGTGAGCTGATAACCGATACAACGGCATCGTAGAGAGCCCGACAAAGTCGATTCGGGGTACGAGTTTCTTTAATCAGGACCGCGCTTTTGTCGATGAAGAAGTGATTGTTGAAATGAGAAAAACGTAAATTTAGAGCTTTCTATCTCCATCTAGAACGGTTAACCCGTTGTGGATACATCATTTTAACCGTTCCTTATTACATCAATGTGGATCACACGAACCTAACGGGCTTTGATAATAAGAATTTATTAACCCTTTCGCATTTTTGGTCCTTTTATTAAGGGGTTTGTGCAAAGTACAGTAAGAATCAGTCTCTAAAAAGGCGATTTTTTTTACCCTTTTACAATAGTTCAGCTGATCAGGTGCAACAAAGCACATACAGTACGATTCGTAAACGTCAAATTTACTTTAATCAAGTATAATTTCAGTGACTGATTGCATCATTTTAGTTTCCTCAGTAATTTGTTACAAGAGATTGTACAAACGAGTATCGTGGATTTGTAAAAGGAGAGATATGCGACCTTTTGATAACAAATGACCAAGTATTGTATTCTCGGTGGGCTGTCTAGCCAGCACTAAGTGCTTCCTATCTGAGTATAAGTTGCTCGACTAGAAGCTGGTGTAGCGTAGTTCAGTTTTTCAGCGTTTCAGTTTTTCAGTGAGGTCCGTTGACGTCGTTAGTGTAGCCAATTTTTTTTTTGAATATATTTAAGAAAAAAAAAAGAATTAATTACGTATGGAATTGACTGATGACTTGGGTAGTGAATTTTTCACGCCCATTGCATGACGAGAATTGGAATACATATTCCTGCGAGCTAAGGAACAGTTTAATTTCCCTTTCCCTTCGGCTAACCCATAAGGGCTACGATAAGCTGATTTGAACCTTGTTAAAGTTTATATTTAGAGCTGTTCCACGCGAAAGCACGACTGTCTTTTAAGGCTGAAATCAGTAGGTATCCAGCGAATGTATTAATTTTAAAATCAGATATGATTTTTCTTTTTTTTATCTGATACCGTTATCTTTTTTGGAATCTGATACGGTTAAGTCAATGTGGACCACGTCATACAGACAGGACGACATACGGTTAAATTCATGTATAAAACATTATCCTAACCGTACAATAATGTGGACCACACCAACCTAACGCCATCCATTCCCACGACAGCCGCAGAAGTGCAAGAGACTGCAGACGTCACCTCCCTCTCACCGATAGCAGTTCGTTAGACTCGACACAGACTGACATGAGCAGCTGGAACTCGGACGACCGGTGGCAGGACTCGAGCTCGTCCGCAACAGGCTCGAGCTATGACTCGTCGGCGACGAGCGGCCTCGAGTTCCCCGTCCTCCCCACGATCCCGTCGGGCAGCATCGACATCGGCTCCATCGCCCCAGTCTTCGGTGTGGCGGCATACGACGACGACGCCGACTACTTGGACTACGATAAGGCCGGTCGCCCGTTCATGGAGCAGATGAGCGGATCGTGCGGTACCGCCTACTTCTCGGGTATCATCGGCGGCGGCGCCTACGGAGCAATCAAGGGCTTCTCGCGCTCGCCCAGCACCAAGTTTAAAATTAGGATGAACTCGCTCATGAACGGCGCAGCCACGCGCGGCTCCAAGGCTGGCAATGCACTCGGCTGTCTGGGTGAGTTGACAATGCTTGCAGTTGTTGTAATTTTAAGCTTTATTGACACAATTTGTGTGCTGTGATGATGTAGCCATGATCTACAAGGCTTTCGAGTACGTAGCTGACTCGGCTGAGATCGAGAATATCGTCAAGTTCGACCAGGTAACGCCGATCCTGGCATCGGCAGCTACTGGAGTGTTCTACAAGTCGACGGCCGGTCCCAAGGCCATGGTGCTGGCTGGGGCTCTCGGTGCTGGACTCATGACGGTTGTGCAGTTCGGCATCAAGCCTTTCTACCCGCGACTATAGACGCCCACTCCAGTTTGCTGCCGTACTCTTTTTGATTGCGGCGTGTTGAAAACTGAGGAAGTACAGGCCTGGACCGGAACGTGATTCTTCTGCTCGCTGGCAGCGCCAATATTGGCGCAGAGTCACAGCAAGATTTATAATCTACGCAGAGAACAGTTAGAGGAGAGGACGGAGTCGAGCTACGTGATGAAGCAGAGCTTCAAGGACGCGGAGGTGCATTTGTAAGTTAGTACAGCGGATTTTTTCATCTCAATTATTTTTTTAATGCGCCTTCGACATTGTTTTGGTGAACCACACAATATTCCTATTATCCAGCATACGGAACTTCCCGCGCATTTCTCTCCCATTGGTTCAAATTCAAAGCGACACTTCCAGCAATGCTGGCGTCGTACGCGCTGGAGCTGCACGCGCTTAAGGCGGAGCTGCAGAGCACTCTGGCGCGTCTAGGCGTGGATCCAATCAGCTCCGTCGATGACACACCAGCCAGCGTCCACCCACCCACAGCAAGACGCCCTCGACGTCGCCCTACGCGTTGGAACAGGCGCCGATTGACGCAGGAATTGGCTGCGGCTTCCCAGAGACGACAGGAGCTCGAGAGGCAACTACAGCAGGAAATACAGCGACAGGAGGTTGATGAACAACAAGAGAATCAAAATAACAGACACAGAACAGCGTGGCAGGCTGCGATCACGGAGCTACAGCAGCAACGAGCCGAGATAATGCGCCAGATTGAACAGGACACAGTAAATGCTGTTGATACAGCGCAAACTGAAGAAGTTCAGGAGACGAAGCAGAGACAGATCGAGGCTTCTGGATCTACCATAACCAGCCAGGAGAATCAGTACTCTATTGGTGGAGTCGTGACTTTGGAACCGTTGTCCTCATCACAACGAGGCCAAATGTCGACCTTCACGAGCTCAAGGAGTGGCGTGTCATTTCACCCTGTCACTCCCGCTCCTGCATCTGCACCTACAGCAGCACAACCATCAGTATTGGATAATTATCCGAGATACCGAAATACGCCGGACGCGTTGAATGACGTGTTCTCGCTGCAACTGAAATTTGCCGAGACGATGTTAAAACTGGAAAAGTCAGTACAAATGCGGGATCAATTGCTGCATTATGGATCTTCCAGAACACGAACCAGAGAACAGCATCGTCGTCAGCGTAAACGATCTGAAAGTGGTTCCAACAGCGATTCCAGTGTGATGTACCGAGAAAATCGCAGTGAATCGTTCAGTTCAAGCGCATACTCATTCTCCTCACTAGACTCGACACCACACCGTCAAACCATTCGATATCCGAACTTTGGAGTATCAAGAGCGACCACAGCGGAAACGCTAGCACCTTCCTCATTGGGTGCAGAGCATTCGCCTGAATCCGAGACGACTGATAGATATGCAGCTACGATGGCACCACCTCACGACTCTCCAGTCAATATTGAAGTCGTGGGTACTGTCGAGCGAGAAGAGATCCACAGGACCCCTACAACCGGTAGCAACGTGACCACTCCGACTACCGGAAGTGACCAAAAATCCAACACTTCGTCGTCGAAACAGGTCCGTTTTGGTGAGGATGCTTATTCCACTCCGATACTTGCTCGAAAGTTCAACTTCGATGGGCCATCAATGGATGAAGACGAAGAGGAGAAGGATGAAGTGGAGAGTATGTTGAGCTTCCTTGGTGGTTCGAGTGTTACCAGTGCTGAGCTGAACGATGCGTCTTTCCTCCGCGCTTTTGAGCGCTTCCGTCGCGAGTTGAACGTGTCTAGTAGACACAATACAATTCAATCACCTCCATTGGCGAGAAAACTTTTTCCAGCACAGAGTGAAAATTGCCCTTCAAATGCAAACGAAGCCGATGTGTCGGAAGGAGATCTCGGTACTATTGGTGGATCTACATGTAATGTTGACGCCAAGGTGTTTCCTGAGCTTGACGGATTAAATGCCGAAGAATTGCAAGAGCGACGCAGACAGCTGTGCCTAGATATTCAAGCTGAGAGCGCTCAACTTGTGCTAAACTTTGGTGCAACGCAGATCAGATCACACGATACAGAGCAAACAAAGAATCGTTTGCTGACGTTGCGGGACGAGCTCAAAGCTGTCGACGCGCGGTTGAGTGCACTGTAAGTGTGGGTCAGCAAAACAATTCAATTGTCATTAAAAATGCAATTCACGGGAGTTATCCATTGGTTGTATATCAAGGATTCAGTGGAACACCTATCACAAACTTGCATGATTTTTGCATGCTTGACTCCGATATAATGGAGCGGGAGGTGTTTTCATTGATGTTGTCTTCAAGACAGGAATTCAGTAGGATGAAATTGAAGTGAACAAGAGCTAAACTTGGTACGATTTTAGCACATTTCAATCATCAGTGCGAGACCATATCATCAATAAAATGCTGCCAAATGTTTCCATTTTCCAATCGCAGTGAGGATGATTGTAACGGGCGGTTGTCACACAAACGCTACCGTGCTCACCACGGTAGCCAATCAATACGTAGAACAGAGTAGCTGGTTGGCGCGGTCTCTTGTGTTGAGACCGCGTCGCTAGCTGTTTTATCTCAGAGTCATATTTTTTCTGCTTCCTCAAGCCTCCAGTGTACGCTACGGTAACGGTCCTTCGGTCCCGTTACACCTGGTAGTACTTCGTAATCCGTCCAACGCCCAAGATCAAGATGAATGACACGTCGATGAGCGACGCGTCCAGGGTGACCAACACGTCACTAGAACACGCAAGCTTCCCCCACCTGTCCTCAATTGGTTGCACCGGCTCGCTGCTGCATCCGGCGATGCTGTCATCCAGACTCTGCTTACGGCCGGCACAGAGGAACAACAACGCCTGACCGCCCAGGAGTTCATGGCGCGTGAGCTCGCTGACCTCCGTTAGCGAGTGTCGACTTCCACGCTGCCCAAGGACAAGACCGACATCGTCAAGCTTGACGTCTCCACCTACACCGGTGAAGGCGATGGTCGCCTTCACTTGAACCGATGGTTCTGCGAGGTGGACATCGCTGTTGAAGCTCGGCAGTTGTCCACCGAGCTTGCGAGGACTCGGTTCCTTCTCTCCAAGTTGGGGGGGGGGGAAGGCGAAAGAGTGGGCACTCGGAAAGCTTGTCGCCGACGCCACCTGTTTCCCCACGATGGCGTCCATGAAGTCTGACCTCCGACTCGCGTTCGAGCCGCCTCAAGACGAGAACGTCCAGCGGTCCGCCTTCCTGTCGCTAAAGCATGGACGCATGTCCATGCTCGAGTACATTCAGCATACTCGGCATCTTGTGTCGTGCATCACGACCTATCCGCGACTCAGGTCCACGTCTTCGTCTCGGGACTGAACGCTGGCTATCAGCGTTTCTACTTGACAAGGAAAATCCCGGCCACACTCGAAGAGGCCTTCGCGACCGCTTTGCGCGAATACTACATTGTCACGGCGTCGCAAGCGTTCGACGTCTCGTGGCCTTTGGCTCACGAACCCGATCCAGAACCAATGGGCGTGGATGCGATCCAACACTATGGCGGACGTCGGGTGCCGACGTCATCCAATTCGTAAGGTTCGTCTTGTTCGTCACAGTCTTCAGCACGCACACCGCGTCCGCTGCATTGCTTCCGCTGTAAGAAGCTTGGACACCGCGCAGTAGTTTGCCGCGCTCCAGCTCCTGTCGTGGCGAACGTCACGACCCAGTCCGACGCGACTATTGCCCCATCTAACAGCCACCACCTGCAGTGGCTCGAGACTGATCGTGCTCAGTCTCCACGTTAACTCCTCTACTCCGCCATTACGGATTCTCCTGAATCTAAGTTATAGAGGTGAAAACATTCCGAACTCTCCGCAACAGATTTGGCGCGATTCAAATTCGCATATAGAAGTTTGTATGCGTAAATTTAGACAGGTCGACTGTAAGGTCTACGTTCGGTGCGACATGCTATTATCGGGAAAGGGTTGGTGTTACAAGTATAAGAATCCACGGGCCTTTGTCAGCCTTTCATTTCGAGATCTGGCCGGAGGAGAGACAATCATTCCTAGTTCAAGATACTTGCTATCGTTTACGAAAAATCATTCCAGCAAATATGGCGCGAACTCACAAAAAAGGATGGGCTACAAGAAGTCAACGAGCCTAAGCAATGGCCAACGGTACCTGCCACCAGGTGGAAACGTCAAGGGGGCTGAAGGAGTCGACTTCCTCATCGGTATGTGCGTTGGTGTTTTTTGGTTGCGGTATTGTCGAACTAGTCTCATACTTGCTAGGTGAGGAGAGTTTACTACGGTACTGTCGTTCCAAGGGGTGGCTTGCCTTTGCTCCTCTTCCACCACAACCACCCGTTTCGACATCACCCGCTGCAGCAGCAGTTGGACTGAATGGAGACGCTGCAAATTCAGTGACGGCAACTCCAGTAGTTGCCCACCATGCTCGCGTTTAGGAAGTCGCCCCAGCTGCTTCAAACTCACCAACTCCGGACTCTGCAAAGATCACGCCAAAGCCAAGAACTGCTAGAAAGGAGACTCCTGTGGAGCGGCCTCCACCGTTTACCAGAATGACCGCGGCACCTGCCAAGCGACCAGCCCCAGCAACAACCTCTACATCGAAGCGTCGTCGGGCTGGTAAGTGTTTTTTCGTTGTATGTGTTCTTTGACATTGAAGTCTAACTTACTGGCCTGTTACGTATTATCCTCTTTACTCAGTTACGGAAGGCATTGAACATCTTCCGGAAACCACTGATGCTGTTGTTCAGGAGGTTCCTGAAGACGATGAGGATAGCACAGAAGAGCCTATTATGGAGATTCTGAACGAGTCGACTGAGAACGCTGCCATTGCTACAACGCATGTTCCTGATATAATAGGTGCCGTTCCACTTGATGAATTTGATTCAGACAATTTTCTCGATGCACTGAGACGCGACCATATCTTTGTACCTGGTGAGCGTGATGATCTGAATACTGGAGAGGAGGACTGGTTACTGTCACTCAACTCCGACGCTGAAGGTGACGAAGAGTCTATTCTGTTTGACGAGGACGGCGACGATCAAGGGAAAAGTAACGGTGAGGAAGTTTACGACTCAGAAACTGATGATGCAGACGTAAACAATGACGACGAGGTTCCGTTGGATCTCGATCTCACTGAAGAAGAATTGGATCGACTTCAAGCTGACGAATGGGATGTGTTTTTGGATTGTGACTCGCATCATGTACAGCTAGACCCCACGCCTCTATACGACGGCCCTTCTGGCCCCACGCGAGCAGCACTGGCATACGCAACGAATCCGCTGGCAATTTTCTACTTCTTTCTTCCAAAGGAGCTGTGGCGCAAAATTGCAGAAGAAACCAACAACCTCTTGGCATGTGTAGATGAAATAGCCCAAGCTATGCGTGCGCGGGCAAGTCAACGACGGGAAGCTGTTCCATCAACTATGGTCTACACAGTTGAGGAATACAAGACAAAGTTGAAGAGGAAGAACGCTATCCAGCCACACGAGATCATTCGTTTCATTGGAGTGCTCATTGCGCGTACGCTGGAGCCTCGACGAGAAAACCTCAGTCGACACTGGATCACGAAGGTGGGGGGAGCGCTGTCAAGAGGCACGTTTGGGCAGTTTCTGAGTCGAGAACAGTTCCAAGACATTGCGCGCTACATACACTTCAACGACAACACTAATCAAGGGGAAAGTCATGATCGAGCCTCCAAGATACGGCCTATCCTTTCGGCACTTCAGAAGACCTTTTCCCGTGGATATCGTCTTGGTGGTCGCATTTCTTTTGATGAAGGCATGATTCCAATGCGTCACCGGCGTAACCCGATGCGGCAGTACATGCCAATGAAGCCAAACAAATGGGGGACCAAGTTCTACATGACCTGCTCGGACACAGCGTACTGCGCTAGGTATGAGGCATCCGTTTTTTTTACAATGTATTATCCGTAATGTATGCGGGATGTTCCGATTTAGATGCTCATTTTATTCCGGATTGCTCGTTTTACTTGCTCAAATTAGACATCTACTGCGGAAAAGCAAACAAAGATGAAGAAGCTGTGGCACAGCGAGCCGTGCTCAAAAATCTTTCTCAAGTTTTGCGAGGACAACCCACTCGCCGACTTATCTGTACGGACAACTTCTATACGTCGGTGTCGCTCTCACACAAGCTTCTCAGTATGAGCCACGCTCACGTTGGGACTATCCGAAAGAACAGGAAAGGCTGGTGCCTTGGCATCGAGTTCAAGCAGAAGAAACGACCTAAGCGCATGCCTCGCGCGGCGTATCGTCTGGTACTGTGGAGGGGACATCCTGAGTACGTGGCCTTAACGTGGATGGACAACAAACCTGTAAGATTCCTGGCAACCGGGTGCTCTATGCGGCTGACACATGTGTCACGTCGTGAACGCGACGGCTCTATTTCGCAAGTACCTTGTCCTCGCTTTATGCGCGACTACCATGAAGCCATGGGGGTGGACGTACACGACCAGCTAAGGCTTCAAAGGTACTCGATTCAACGCTCTATCCGAATGCGTAAGTACTACAAGGCTATTTTTGTAGAATTGGCGGACATTGCCATGGTAAATGCATTCATCGGGCACAAGATAGCGATGACGAAGAAGAACCAAGCCATGCCAACACATGCAGCATTCCTACGGCAACTTCACGTGGACCTGCTAAACCAAACCAGTGAGGATTTCAACGCAAGTGACGACATGGTTGGGTTAGTGACGGAGCCGCTGCCCAGACTCGACCACACGCTGGAGAGAATAGAGGAGCTGAACCGTGCTAAGCGGCGTCAGTGGCTGTGTAAGGTATGCTCAACTTACGCTGGTGCTGGTGTCCGTAGTTTTGAGACTAGCTACTTCTGTGCTACGTGTTCGCGCGCTAAAAATGGTAGCGTGACGCTGTGCAATAAGGCGCTGCGGCTTCGATACGGGGTCGCGCTCACCTTCAACGAGATCTGGCATCAAAGTTGGAAGAATGGGACTGCCATCCTCCCTTCACTACAGAAAAAGATTCGGTTTGTGAACAAGCGCCGAAAGGAGATTGAGACCGAGGAGTAAGAAGTAAATACATAAGCCCCATCGTTACAATAGATGTAACGCTTTTGCAAGGAGATCGCAATACAGGGTGTTTTGGACTGGTCTTGAACTGCACATCCCTGCATAATATCCAATCACTGACACTCATTTGGCCACGTGTCATGCGCAAGGGCTTGAAACAGGATATAAAGTACTTATTTTCCGGCATACGTTAATACATATGCTAAGAATAACGGATACTCCGGAATTATCGCTGGATTAGAAGGTTTAAAGGAGCCGCACGACCTATTCGTGCGCTCCTGGACTCCGTTCGCACCGAAAGCTTGTCGGTGCTGCCGCCGGACACGTGCGTCAGCGAGGGCCCCGGCTATATGGTCGTCAAGTATGCTGACGGCAAGCCGCGCCGAATGCCTCGGCGCTCAGCCACCTTTGCGTACGAGTTTGACGGCTTCAACGACTCCGACGAGTTTCTGGTGATTGAGCTAAGCGAAGCCTTTGACTGTGTCTTTGGCATCCCATGGCTTGCCCGCCACCAACCTCATATCGACTGGCTGACTGGCACAGTCCGCCCACGCGACATCGATGTAAATGCGGTGTTGGCGTTCCTGAGCGAAACGCCCAACCTTTGGCCACACGTTGCTGTCATGGATCCGGACTCCATGACTACCGTTGCGCCTGAAGCGAACGATGGTCCTTCATGTGCAGCGTGTGCGCACGCAGCTTGTGCCAGTCCTGAACACGCGTCTCAGGAAATGCCAGACTCGGTCGAGCAGGGACTCCCGTGTCCCTACAAGCAGCGGCTCGAGAAGCGATACGGTGTTGAACGTTGCCTCCCACGCGCGGTTGAACAGAGGTTCCCGCGTGTGGTCGAGCGGGAGCTCCCCAACGCAGAAGATATGATTGAGAATGGCCTCCCACACGCGGTCGAACCGGGGTTCCCGCGTGGGGTCGAGCGGGAGCTCCCCAAAGAAGCGAATACGGTGGAGCATGGGCTTTCACACACGGTCGAGAATGGGCTCCCGGGGACGATCGAGCGGGAGCTCCCTGACGATGAGGACGCGGTTGCCTCAACAGACCCGCGTCCTGGCGCCGATGATGTGTTCCGGCGCCCGAGCACAACAGACGTGATCGAGTGTGGTCTCTCACGGTATGTCTCCCGACGACCGGTTCGTCGCCGCGGCCGTCGTAACCCGCGGCGACCCCGCGTGTCCTCCTCCGACTCGGACTCAACCGAGTCGGAGGTCATCTCGGTTCTGGTTGGAGATGAGTCAACGATTTCGCCACGCATACACGACGTCGAAGACGCACGTCCGCCGTGCGACGCCTCTGAGATCGTGTAGCTATCTGGATTGGCATGGAGGCATTTCCTCCGCGACCTGAAACGTGGTGACATTAAGCAAGTTTGTATGATCGTCGCGGAATCTACATCCATCGCGACAGTCGAAGCCGAATCCGTATCCTACAATCGGACGGGTCCTATAAGAGCGGAGCTGAAGAGCGCTCGCGAAGCACGTTATGCCGCTCAGTCGTTGCCGGCCCTCGAAGTGTTCGGCAACCCAGTCTCTCCACTATCAAATCCTGATGCGCGAGAGCGACTTGCCGCTCACTGCAGTGAGCACGCCCAGCGGTATTCTGTGGGAATGGCTCGTGATGCTGCAGGGGCTGAAAAACACCCCTACCACCTTCAATCGGGTGGTCTCCAGTCTATTACGCCCGTATCGCGACTTTGCTCCTAAGCTTTATGCAAATCTGAAGAAGTGCATCTTCTGCGCTCCTGAGATCCCAGTACTCGGGAACTACGTCAGCAAGGACGGGGTCCGTGCCGACCCAGAGAAGATCGCGGCCATTTGTACTTGGCCAGTGCCACATAGCCAGAAGCAAGCTAAGACAGTGGCTGGGGCTCGCCACGTATTCCCACCACTACGCCAAGAACTTCGCCGAGACTGTACATCGGGTGCGCCTTAATGCAATTCGACGACGGAGGGCGCGAGCGAGTGGTTAGTTACCAGTCGCGCCAGCTGAAGCCGGCGGGGAGGAATTACCCCGTTCACGATAAGGAGCTCTTAGCGATGCGCTATGCACTCATCAAGTTTCACGTGTACCTGTTGGGCGAGCAGACCTTCGCCATCTACACCGACGACGCTTCGTTACGGACGGCGACCAAGAGCCCGCACTTGTCCCAACGCATGGCGCGATGGCTCTCTCTCTTTTTCGAGTTTAACTTCGTCGTACACTACAATCCTGGCAAGACCAATATCCTTGCCGACGCGCTGTCGCATCGGCCGGGCCAACGCGCAGTCGGGTCGCCATTCAGTTGGCGACGAAGACGATGAAGAATGTGCTGTGTGCACCGCCGAGGATCTCGCTGCGGTGGAAGGCACGGGGAGAAGCTCCCTACGAGATATGATCGTGGCTGCGAACGAGTCCGACGCGGCGTGTCTACAAATGATCAAAAATCTGAGAAAACCCTTCTGACTCGGCGCGGCACCGCCTGTTGACGCGTAGCCGTTCTCGCATCGACCGACACGGCCTTGACGGTGATCTACTAACTTTCCATGTTGATCGTGACGACCCGCCACGCATCGTCGTCCAGCGGGACGACGATCTTGAGCTCGTCTCATTCACGAGTTCCATGACTCTCCGAGCAGCGGGTATCTCGGACGCGAAAGACACTCGCGTCGCTCTCGCGAGACTTCTATTGGCCATACATGCACAAATGGGTGCGCAAATGGGTGCGCTCCTGTGACGCCGGCCAGCGTGGGAGGCCCTCGCACTCGAAGCAAGCGCCACTCCATTCTCTCGAGGTGGCTACCGCGCCGAGATCGTCTGTTAGCATGGACTTTGTGTTCAGTCTTCCACGTAGCGCACACGGCCGTACAGGAATCCTTGTCTTCGTTGACCGATTCAGCAAGATGGTCCGTCTTGCTCCGGTTGCAGCGACCATCACCGCGAAACAGTCGGCGGCGATCTTCCTGGATATTGTCTACCGACATCACGGTCTCCCGTCTTCGATCACCTCCGACCGCGGTTCCCGCTTCACGGCAGCATTCTGGCAAGAGCTGTTCCTCCTCCTCGGGAAGCGTCCGAAGATGTCCACCGCGTTGCATCCAGAAACGGACGGCCAGACCGAAAGAACTAACCGAGTCGTTGATGGCATCTTACGAAGCTTCGCTACTTTATTCAAGTCGTGGAGTTCCTTCTTACCGATGGTCGAGTTCGCGATCAACAATTCGGTCCACGCGTTGACGGGGTCCACTTCGTTCTTTTTCAACTACAGGCGACATCACCGTCTTCCTGCCCTCCTCGGAATGGAGCGCTCTATCCCCGACGATGATCCGATTGACGTCACCGGTCCCACTTCGGTCAACGTTCTGACGCGGCACGGCTTTCTAACAGCCCGACCGGGCACGCAAACGCGTGCCGCCACACGGAAGGCACCATCACCAGTTGCCGAATGGACGTCCCGGGCGCTGATCCCGTCAACGTCGTCGAGCGGCCGAACTACAGCCTTCTCCGGACTCGACACCAGTCGCGCCAGCGATCTTCAATCCAAATTCAGAGCCGCAGCAGCGCGACATCGCGGGTGCCCACGACTTCGTCGGCCAGCGCGACTCAATTATGCGATATGTGCGAGACGCGATCGCGACCGCAGTCGATTGCCAGAAAGAATTTGTTGATCAACATGGTCGCAAAAATTCGGAGCGCTTCAATGTGGGTGATCGTGTATTACACCTACATTCGTGACGAATTTGGGCGCCAACAAGTTGGCACCAAGATTTATTGGACCATTCAAGATCTTGAAGGTATTAGGTGGCGCCTACACGTTACAGCTTCCTACGGCTATACGTCTGCACCCTACCTTCTACGATGGCCGACTCCGACGATATCACCCGGCGGTCATCCCTAGCGACGCGGTGGACCCTTCGCGCCCGCATTCCAGCGATCTCCCCACTCGTCGCGCTGCCGCTGCACCCGATGACGCAAGTCTGATTCTCCCGCTCCAGAATCTCCAAGCGCTGGTGCAGACGCCGCATCTCCGGGGCGTCCTCCCACCCTCGCTGATCCTCCGTTCGAACGTGACGGTCCGGCGCCACTTGTTGATACGGCGGGGCATGTTCGCCATATTGTCGACCGTATTCTGGAGCACGCAGGTCCCCGCGCTCCACCCAAGGGTCGCGGCGCTCGTCACCGCACCAATATGATTCCCTTACAGCGGCGCTACTTGGTGCGCTGGTTGGACCCCATGCCGGATAGCTGGAATGTCTCGTGACGTCCTCCTCGCTGACGTTCTGAACTGCGTGGCGGCGTACGAGGCAGCCGTTGCAACGGTGACGGATCTCGCTAAGGACGCGCCCGTCCGCCGCGCCTAGCCTCGTTCAAGGCTCGCTGATAACGTCCGGTTACATCCCTCTCCACTTCAGTCACAGGCACCGCCTCCACGATGCGGGGCCACTCTCCCTCGTCGTCGCTTCTTCGGCCACCGCGACCCCAAACGTTAAGTGTGGCGTGTTTACCATCTGAAAGTGGGGATGGTGTGACGGGCCGTTGTCACACAAACGCTACCGTGCTCACCACGGTAGCCAATCAATACGTAGAACAGAGTAGCTGGTTGGCGCGGTCTCTTGTGTTGAGACCGCGTCGCTAGCTGTTTTATCTCAGAGTCATATTTTTTCTGCTTCCTCAAGCCTCCAGTGTACGCTACGGTAACGGTCCTTCAGTCCAGTTACAATGCCTGTTTCATCAATCATGATCATCAGGGATGAAAACTCGCACACTTTTCATATTGCTGGTTCTCGACGCAATAAAATGAACCACACCCGAACGATTGAAGACTTAACAGTTGAATTATGTTAACGACGATTTCTTAATACCAGCTAGTGTCGCACAGTGAAATCGAATTCAGTTTATTATAGTAAAGGGTCTAGGAATTCTGTTCTGCAAACGCACTAGAATATAGACCAGAACCTGGGAACAACCACATCTAACCAATTTCCAAATACTGTACAAACAATGCGGCACTACTACACTACTATAAATCTTTCGTTTGCATATGCAAGTATCAAAACCACAGCACCAGATAGCATCATCAACGCGTCAACGTGGTTCAATCACTGCCTCTTCAATCATTCATTTTGTCGTTTCAGAATCGGCGACTGTGCTGCGGAAATGTCATGACGCACGTAGACCACTACCTTTAGAAAGGACCAGCTTGCCGCGGAGCCGAACCCACAACGCCGTTGTGGTCACAACTGGATTTGTCTCCAATACCGCAAGTCGAGTACCAACCTATCGGTCAAGCCAACGTCACACCAGCGAAACCATGAAGTTCTTCACGTTCCTCGTCGCCACGATGACCGTTCTCGGCGCTGTCGCTGGTGCTGACCAACCTACCGTCAAAACGCCAACTGAAGCTCTTGAACAAGTTCAAGCGTCCACATTACCCGATGGTGTCACGCTCACGGGTGAAACGGAGAAGATCGACCATCCTGCTGATGCTGCGGCGATTTTCAACTAAGTTTGCGAGCTTTAGAGTAGTTATAGGCTGTGATTAAGCTTAGCTACTCAACTTCGTTACAATTAACAGTAGTGCCCGGAGGCTGCTTGAAAACTAATGGTAAAAGTTTGTTTTTCAGCACTTTAAAATATATTCATACATTCTGGGGTTTGAAAAGAAATCTAGATGTAATTGGTACGAGCCGCCGTACGGCATTAGATTCTTGTGCGTATAGGTGGGATGCGTGCTGTTAGTTGGGGGGGGGGGGGGGGTCTCCGATATCGCTATTAATTGGTGTTTATCGAACGGCGGCAGTATTTATAGTTCTCGAAGCCTTAGAATTTTTTAAATATGTAAAAATGATTGTCTTTTAAAAAAACTTCTATCACATTTCAGTACAGAAAGTACAGCTTTACTCCTGAAAACAAAGAGGATTTTTGTTCGATTTAACTTCGAAGTTGTGAAGATGACATTTCTAGGCAATTTAGTGGGCAAGCCGTGGGTAAACCTAGTAGGGCACCTTTATACATGTACCGAATGATCTGCGATTTGCAGTTGCCAGCATCGTCAGTTTACGTTTGACCTTAGTAATGATCGGGCAAAATTGTTTTATGCTACCAAAGAAGAGAAGATATTTTCCTGTCATAATCTTAAAACAATTATCGAGTTTTTTTTTCTAAATCTTGCAATTTTTATTTATTAAATTAACCTTTAAATTTCTGTATTATTTGTACAATAAGATCACAGCGATGGTATACCAAAATTCTAAGTATACGAATGAAGTTGTATGCATATATTGCTGAGAACCAATAGCAGACTGTGTAATAGACTTAATTGTTTATAATATCATACTCCTTTAACCTTTTTCGTGATAAAAGGAAGCAGAATGCCCCCTTTTCCTGCTTTTCAACTAAGTACGACGATGTATCCATGTTAAAGGAGGCAAAATGCCTCCTTTTATAGTTAAGTACGTTTACGACAGGTAGTTATGGGCATAGAAAAACCAAGCAATTCACATTTGGAAGATTTGAAGGTGGTCAATCACTCGCCTTAAAGGCGGCAAAATGCCTCCTTTTGATACCGACTATCCTAGATTTGTATACTATAATTCACTAAAGTGGCTCGGGAAAGGTTAATTAAAGCACAAATGTATCATCATTCCATTTTTTGTTGATTTTATTAGAGAAGATAGTTAATGTTGATAAAAGTAGAGTCCGTGGAGCCATCCACAATTGTTTGATTTACAAGCCCATTGGAGCCTAATTACACTTTTCTACTCTGGTGTCGGTATTTACATGCTAAATAATGTTAAATCCTCTAGCCCCGCGTTTTTGGGCCCAAGTAACCCTGTATGTCTTGCCTTGACTATTGTGGATTTTTTTGTGAGGATTGTGATGATCACAATCTTTTATGGCTATTTAGAGAGTATGGTACAGTGTAAATTGCAGAAAGCTGGTGCTGTATTCGTAGAGAAAAAGTCAATTTTTACAACTACCTTTATTCACAAGTATACATACATTCGTGAGTTTCATTATATCAACCCAGTCTCCCTAAATTGCATACCGTGCGAGCTTCCTTCACCTGCCGACCGGGCGCTCGAGCTATCACTAGGACCATCGTCGTCTCCGTCGGCTGAATGCACACCTTGACCTGTTCGAGCACGCGACCTGATCATCTTGAGTACTGGTGGAGTGTTAGCGTCACTCGTCCAGCGTTTGTGCCAAATCTGACTGGAAGTGGCAGAGTTCGTCGGTGCAGTTGGGTCGTACCGTCGCACCTTTTGACAGAGATAAATCATGCCCTTAGTGCTTGAACTGTTGTCAGCCATCTCCTCCATTCTTGTCTTGGTGCACTCAACACAATATAAGGTAGTTTCCCATGGATTCTTTGCTGGTCGCAGCAATGAGCAGACCTTTCAGGCGTACTGTCGACGCTTCCTTGACTCTTTTCCGTTCTTGCTCCGTGTGGTACGGTACCTTAAACTTGTATAGTCGAATGGTTAGTCGATAGTCTGTATCGAGTCGGCAAAGGGAGTTTGGAGTGTCGGTTAATGCGCGAACTGACAAGTCGCCTTCGAAGCCCGACATACCGACAGCCAACAGCGACATCTGCATTAGTCGCATAAAGTGCGCATGTGTTGACGGAGCTGACCCGGGTGTGCGATCACCTTGCACGCGGCGAAAGATGATGAACGCGTTGATCAGTGCCATGTCAACGAGGCCCAAGAAAATTGTGTGGTAGTGCTTTCTCATTTTCATTGCGCCCTGTATAATACAGGGGAAAAATCATGTGTAGGTCAGTTGATCATGGATAATACCGGGAAAGAGAGATACGAGTAAACCAGACCTGGATTGAGTATCTTTGTAATAGCAATTGACCGTGTACGTCCGCCCCTTCCATGCCATCTTGGTACTCCTACACAAGGCTCGGTGCTGGAACATCGACAACTGCGGAACCCTCACGCCTCGACCGAGCTAGGTTCATCTTTAAACTGCGCAATTCGATACGATCCTCTCGCCATAGTATTGGGTCGCTTCGCAATCTTGTACGGGATAGTTTTACAGTAGCCGCGCTTATTGTTTGTGTTGTACCAACATGGTAGAGTCCACGCTGCAGGATAATCGACAACAACAGCACGCTGGAGTAGAACCGATCAGTGATTATGAGCCATTCTTGGGAAGCCCGTAGAGAACTTCATCTACGTTGCGCAGTACGGCATTGGGATCCTGGTTTAGATCCGTGCTATCCGTGTCTACTCGCTATAGGTAAATTTCAGGATAAAACAAAAAATCGTGAGATTCTATCCTGTATCATACATGTATATAATACCAGTACCTGCAGCAGTAGCCGCTATCAGCATCATAAGTCAAAAAAGCACTTGGTAACCCATGGATGGGGCTGGACTCGGAGGTACTGTCGCATCGGGTTGTACTTGCTCCTCATAGGTATCATGCCTTCGTCAAACGCAATTCGCTGCTCAACGGTCATTCCCAGTTTGAATTCGAGTTGATCACGTCAGCAATAGATTTGATCTTCCAGGTATTGTATTTTTTTTTGCGTCCGGGTCGTTGTTGTTGCTAAAATGCAGGAACCGCACTATCTCTTCGAAACGCTTCCTTGATATGTAGCGCCCAAATGTCCCTCTTGGAACAGCAGCTTGAGCATCCACTGCCCAGTACTTCGATAATTTCTCCTTGTGAGGGCACAGAGTACGGACACAGAGCAGACCAATGAAATTAACGAACTCGTGAGCCTGAATGGGTTTGAACGCTCGTTGTTCTTTCTGGACTTGTAGCGACGTCTTCATTTTGTAGGCCGGGCGTCTGTCTTTGATTCGCTGTTGGCGCGCCATGATATCATCTGCTATCTGTGTTCGGTACTGGAGCTGATACCGATTTGCCTCAGTTGCAATAGCAATCCACATCTCTTTTTGGTAGGAACAAAAAGAATAACCCTTCAAGGTTAGATCCCAGGGCTTGAGCGAGCTGGGTCAGGGCAACAATAGCGTGTGTTAGATAAGCAGCGGGTAACTGCAGAGAAGTACATGTAATGAACATCGAGAATAAAATATTAGTTTTTAATACAGGATAAATTAAAATTCAAGACAATGATACCCTGTATAATACAGATTTGGACTTACATGTGTCAAAGTAGGTTTTCCAGCCAATCTTTGAATGCTCACTCAGTTGTTGCTTCTTCATCACTTGTCGCTTCATCGTCGCTACTAAATTTTTCGTTGGAGGCTTCGGCATCCGAATCATCCTCGTCATCGTCTACGGCATATTCATCTTCATCGCAGAGGCCATTCGTTCCACCCATATATCCACTGACTCAGCCGCTTGTTCTGCGCGCCGAGATGGCAGTACACCTGTCGGTGATTGGGGGACGGCGTTCTTGATGTAACATCCTTTCTTGCGCGCTTCTTTGAGGGCGTTCTTACCGGCGTTTTCGGTGGAACCTTTGCAGGCAGTTTAGCACAAGACTTGGTGAGCGCATTAGTCGGAGCTCTAGCCGGAAGCTCGTCGAGCGACGGTTTGGACTGGGCCGCGGATGGACAACTGGTGGTGGATCAGACGCTTTCCTAGCAAGTGTAGCTTCGTCAAACAGTACTACCTCGTCTTTAGTTCTTTGACAGTAGAAAAAAAAAACTGCGTTCAAAACGTATCATCTTCCGGTAAATGTTCACATATCCCTCGATGTAGTCGACAAGGTGGGTTGCAAGTGGTCGTTTAGTTCAAGCCTGCAGGTGTAAAGTAACGATTCTCAGTATCTAGTACCTTTGGGCGCTCAAATCTCCATCCAAGCTTCTTTAGTTTGCTCCACAGTTTTCCCCTTGTGAGCTTCTTGATGTGCCTTTGTTTTGTCATCCCGCTGCTCTCCGTCCCTCCGATTCGCAAATGGCGCGAAAACATTGGCGCGCGCAAAGCTTTAAATCACGAAAAACACTGGCCACGTATAATACCCTCCAAGGTTAGAAACAAACTTCTGACCTTCAAATCATTTGGTATTACTAAAAGTTAATATAGATAACTAAATTTGAGTATGGGCCAAATCTTATCCTGTATTATACAGGATAAGAGATTCACTATCCTGTAGAATACAGGACCCGGTGGTAGAGGGGTTACAATATACTGCAGACAAGATCATGACAAAGTTACTTTATCAAAGTACACTTTAAAATTGTTAAGATTTTTTTTTTATCAAACTCTTTAAATAATGAAATGGTACTTCTTATTTAAGTGTTTGTTTTAGCTGCACTAAACATGTTGCAGCTATTAATACAATCTTATATAACAAACAAAATAAAAGTTGTCACATATTTAAGTGATTCGTACCGCACTTGATTAGACTGATGACAAAAAGAAGTATTTGTGGCGTTGTGACAAGATAAAAACGAACATTTTCGGCAATATTCGATGTAGGCATTTTGGGCGACCCTACTAAATGTCTTATTCTGTCACATACGGTAATGTAAGCTTTCTTTTTCGTAACCCGGGACCTTTCTGTTCGAAAACGCTCATTAACTTCATCCTAACGAATTACCTCTAGAGTATTCGGAAAGATGATTAACCATGGGACTACCGGTACTAATAACTAAGGACTTCGCTTAACTCGACAAATACAACCGCAGTTGCGTGTTCATTACGACTGCATGGGGCAAGGTGGACAGAGGAGCAGAATTGCGAAATCAAAGAGCTTTCAAGCCTATTGCATTCCTTGCGACTGGGTTTCGAAACTAGAATCGTATTGCTGGACAGGGAAGAGGCAACTCGATACAGTGTGGTTACCATTTGTTCAATTTTTCGGATGATGCTACTGCTACCAGCATTAGGCCTTTATGCCGAGGACGGGTGTCATGGCACTTAAATCCAGAATTGAGAGTATAGCGATGCAGTATAAACGCGTAACATAGCGAAAACAAAACACATTGAGGCGTGTAGCCCCTCATTGGCATGTTCTAGGCGCTCCAACCTACCCAGGGAACAAAACATTGGCTGAAAGGCGTATCCTCCAAATTCAAATGCTTTGCTAATCCGATTTCACCCTCTTATACTCTTTTTCTGTAGTGACTGGCTCGAAAGCTATATTTGGTGTAATTACTGTGAAAGCAGCCAAAACTAGACCAAAACTACATTCCAATTGGACAGCAGAAGAGTGTTCCCACTATATCTTAAATACGAAGCAAACCGAGCTTTTGTTTTTTATCGGTTTGTCGTAGTCGTAAGGGTCGCTTAGTCATAGGGGTCATTACCAAAATGACCAATCAAAGGGCTCAACCCTAAACAGACGGAAATTCTAATTTTAGATGGTTGGACGCATAAATCGTAAGTAGAAACACATTCACTAGCAAACCCAGCGATGCATCGGCCTCGTATCAACGGAACTGGCAGGCAGCCCAGGAAGTATTGTCGGATTTCTGTAGCGTACATCCACAACAAGCAGGTCATAGATTACATTGGTGCGGGAAATAGTCTCTATGAGACTATCAATTATTTCTATGGAGAGCTGGATCATAAGCAACGTCGTGCCAAAAAAAACAAATTAACAAGTGGATCGCACAAGAACATCGGATCCGTGATGCATGCTCCTCAGGACGAGAAACGCACCGTAACTTGCGCCATCGTGGGGAAGCAACTGTCTTGCCGAAATCTATTGAGGAGGGAATTGTGCGATGGATCAACACGTTGAGGCAAGAAGGTGTTCCTGTCTCCCGTTCCATGCTACAGATGTACGCAAAAGATGTCGCTAATGATAACGGAATTCCATTTGCTCAGTTTGGAGCCTCTAGTACATGGATCAAGTTGTTTTTACGAAGACACAAACTTTCTTTTTGTACACGCCAAGGTCAGACAACAACGGCTGATGCTGAAGAAGCCGCCGCTAAATTCCGTGCAGAAGTTCTGCAAATTATGATCGAGAAAGAGTGCACAATGGTGTATAACGCTGATCAAACTGGTAAGACACTACAATCATTATTATTTTGTTATTATTTCTTGACACGCATTTCTGTATATTAATTAACGTGTGCTATCATACCGGTAGCAATATTTTTCGAGTATCTTCCTAGAAAAACGATCACCTCTCGCGGAAGCAAGACTGTTTGGGTTAAGAAAGTTCGCGCTACTGCGATGCTGTTGGGTGACTCGGAGGGTAATAAGTACAACCCCTTTATCATTTTTTAGAGTAAGCCGGCCACAACCAAAGCGAAGCAAGCCATCAATAACGCTATCCGGAATGGCTTTGGAGAGACTGTGTGGCAAGAGATAGAGCCATTGCAGAACCAGCACAACTGTCGGATTTATGGGAACGGCACTGCTTGGTGGAACTCCGGCCTCTCTGTAGATTTTTTGAAGTATCATTTCGCTGTCGCGAAGACATGACTGGAAGTGTTTTACTTTTATGGGACGACTTCAGCGGTCACTGGACCAAAGAAGTCGTCGATTACGCGGCAAGCATCAACGTCATTCTTCACAAAGTTCCGCCCCGGTACACGTACGTGTGCCAGCCAGCAGATATTGCGTGGAATCAACCGCTGAAAAGCCGGCTACGTGAACGGTGGGCTTTAATGTTGAAGACGCAGCTAACCCAGTATCGAAAAAAAAGAATCCGAACGACAGTAAAAAAGAGAAGAACTTACAAAAAAAAACTTCGGAAGCTCACAAAAATCATACACAAGAAGATGCCTTCGCTGTGATAGCAAAACTACGAGCTAAGTATAAAGAAGAAGCGTTCAAACTCAAAGCCCCGGGACGTCCGATCATCACAGAGTCGATAACGGCGTGCTGGTCCGGACTGAGCACTACTACGATATCTAATGGCTTCAACAAGGTTGGTTTACTTATGGACACGCGCACAGTAGAAGAAGTTTTGGAGCCTGTGAGTGATATCGACGCTACAGTTGAAGAGCTGGTCCAACCAAAGGCCAGCGAAGATTCAGTAGAATCCGACGATGACATTGATTGTATTGGAGATGACTCAGATGGCGAGCCTGACTAACTCAGAAACCCAATTTTAATCACTTTAATAGATAAAAATTAAATCGTTAGCTCACGACAAACAAATCGCTGCTTTCACCATCTTCTTTGGTAATCTTGTGTGTGTGCAGTGACCCTTACGACTACGACAAACCGGTAAGTTCAAACAAAGGTTAAAAAAAATAGATGCAAGCGTAGCGCCATACAATCAAGAAAACCTAGTGCGTTACTGTGAGAGTCAATTTAGCTTAGAATAATTGACGAATTGAGGAATTTGTAATGTTCGTAGAGAATTATCGAAGAAGGTACAAATTCTGTAATTTCAAATTCTGGATATATCTACACCTTTGTGCACTCAACTTCGTAGTAAACAGAATTCAAACTCGTAACTTAAAATTTGGCAAACAGGAAAATTACGATAGGAGCGCATAATCAGTATTCAATGTTGAAAAAACTGCAATCGACCTCGTTGACTATTTACCGTAAACCATAGCTATTCCTTCAGCAGCAGCGTTGACAGCCTTGCTACAGTGAAGCTCCATACGAGACACCAGGACCGATGTCATGCACTT